ACCATTTTCTTTACTAAAGAACCCTTGAAGAACACCAACATTTTCAAGTGTGTAGCCTGAGGGCGGTGTTTTCCCTTTTCTGTGCCGAGTTTAATAAAGCCGGGTTATGGACCGAGGTTTCGATGTCTCTGAGTTTCCCCTACACTGCGATATTAAAAGGTAAACATTTCATAGCATGAAATAAGCAAATACATTTGTATTAGATCAATAACAAAGCATTTAACAGAACACAAGCCTTTTTGAGTCCCTCCTATTTGAAGGTAATCCAGCCTGCAGAAATACATGCTTGGCGTTTAGTTGGTGTATTTGATGGGGAAACCTTTGTGAACTATGGTGTTTTACCGCCACCTACTGGTGTGGCGTTATTGCCCAAACAACATACAGAACCAACAGACCAAATAATGGAAAATTACAATTTTTAAAATATATTCTGAACATGAGAATTTTTTCATAAGTAAAAATACATTGTATTGTTGAACAGTTTAAAACAGTTTATAACAATTATGTAAATGAATTAATCAGACATAACATAACATGTTGCAATTGCCATTGCAGACGGTGAAAGGAATATGTATTTTTATTCATTGTTCTCCACAAATATTAGCACGCCTGGTAAATATGAGCAAATCAGGCTTTAAAAAACATTCTTTATGGCTAATCCTTTAGATTTTTTTTTTTAATTTTAACAAAAATATAATGTTTATTTGAAGTACAATGACAAAAAAAATAAAATCTCATTATTATGAAACAAATATTTTTCTCAAAACTGTGTGTGCAACAGTTATTGGCACCTCTTCATTTAATACTTTGTGCAGCCTCCCTTTGCAGAGATAACAGCTCTGAGTCTTCTCCTATAATGCTTAATGAGCCTGGAGAACACAGGCAAAGGATCTGAGATCGTTCCTTCATACAGAATCTCTCCAGATCCTTCAGTCCACATTGTGGACTCTCCTCTTCAGCATTTCCCACAGGTTCCCTATGAGGTTTAGGTCAGGGGACTGGGGTGGCCATGGCAAAACCTTAATTCTGGGGTCAGTGAATCATTTTTTGTGTTTATTTTGAGGCGTGCTTTGGATCATTGTCCTGCTGGAAGATCCAAACTATTGCCCAGTTTAAGCTTCCAGTTTAAGGTTCTTTAGCGGTCAGAACCCCCACAGGACCACCACAGAGCAGGTATTATTTGGGTGGTGGTGGTGGTGTGTTAGTGTGTGTTGCGCTTGTGCAAGTGGATCAGAAACAGCAGCGCTACTGGAGTTTTTAAACACTGTATCCACTCACTGTTCACTCTATTAGACACTCCTACCCTGTTGATCCAAATTCTCAGTCCAGCAGTGACTCTGAGGTGTTTAAAAACTCCAGCAGCACTGCTGTGTGCTGATCCCAAGGTATGATCCTAATGTCACCACACCCACAGTGAAATATGAAGGTGGGAGCATCATGATATAGTGCTGCTTCACTGCAAACAGTACTGGGACATTATACATCATCAAAAGACACACCAAGACATATTACAGTAGAATTTAATCTTATCAGCCCAGAAACTGAATCTGAGGAGATGGATGTTTCAACAAGACAACAACCCCAAATATACAGCCAAAATAACTCAAGACTGGTTTCTAAAAAAGAATGTTAGGGTTCTTGCATGGGCCAGCAAACGCTGTGTTTTGAAATTGCGAGGGCCATCATAACTTTGGAGAATTTCAGATGATTTCCTTAGAAGAATGGGTCAAAACTGAACCACAAAGCTTTAAAAATGTAAATACTTCTGACTGTAGACCTCTCAATGCTGTTATTGCAAGCAAAGACAAAGTGACAAAGAAATAATGTTTTGAAGTTGTGTATGAAACCTCAATCTCAGTTTAAGCTACTTCTTCTCCTCACTGTGTGCTAACTACCATCCTCAGTTACTTATCATAAATACTATAGTTTTGCCTTTTTTTTTTAAATAAAGGAGCTGGATGTAGCATGTAAACATAACACAAAATATATGATTTATTCCCTGCTCCATATATTGAAATTAATCTGAAAAATGGCCTATTTTGAGTTTATCATATTTTGTGATGTTGATGCAAACCAACACGTTACATATTTCTGCTTATTCAGCCTGCAGCATTTTTGCCCATTCATTCATGTTGTAATTATAAGGAGTGTTTCAGCTGGAACTGCTTTTTGAGTTAGGCACCAATTGTAACAGAACTCATTTACATATATCAATCTAAAAGGTGTGATAATAAAAACAGCCTGTTTGATTCTATGGAATAAAGAGAGGTTGAAAAAGGATCATGTAAAAATGAATTATGACTGTTTTTGGTGACCCACACCAAAGTGGAGCTTAGAAAAAAAAACAAAATACAAGAAAAATGTAGGATATGGTCTCATTAAGCTACTTTTAACATTACCTAATTATAAATAAGTTTCTCTGAAATCCTAAACACCTCAGGTCCTTTACCCTCAGTGTTATATGCTTATATGTCACTTGATCGCTGATTTTGTTTTACATTACACAGAGAAAAACAGAGTTGTGGGCAATAAAGGAGAGCCTGAACCCTAAACATTCATGTCATTATCTGAGATCGACTTGAATGCCCTTTTGAGGGTAATACAGTATATTGTGCCATCAGTAATGGATGTGAGTAATTAGGCTCTCTGAAACAGACCCAGTAAACAATGGCAATACCTGACATAGAATTGATCACACCCAACATTATAGTAAGTAAGTAAAGTTTATTTATATAGCACCTTTTACAACAGGTGTTGTCACAAAGCAGCTTTACAAGGAAATCAGCATTACAGAAAGAAATCCGGGTCCAAGCCCCCATGAGCAAGCCAGTGGCGACAGTGGCAAGGAAAAACTCCCTAGGAAACAGGAAGAAACCTTGAGAGGAACCAAGACTCAGAAGGGGAACCCATCCTCCTCTGGTCGACACCAGATAGTAAACATTGTTAGTACAAAAACAGGGAAAACAGGTGATAAGACCTTTTTATTGTAGAGCAGCCCAGGAAACAATTGAAATGATTAACAGCTTGTATTCGCTCGCCTAATAGATAATGGCAGTCTTTGAAAATGATGTTAGAGTATGTGTAGATTTTTATTCTGCAGGAGGTTATCACAATAAGGCCTCTTTCTGAAACCTATTAAAAAAGCTGAAGCTTTGTTGTGCTTTAAATAGGAGGCCTTTCTGCAGTGTGAAAACACAGATGCTGGAATCTGAAGTGTCCATCGCAGCATCTATGTAGACTCATCCACCTTCACCCCAGCCTCAATCCCCAAGCAGGACGGCTGCAGTGGAGACTACCTCCACCCCAACTGTGTGTGACCCCACTTGTTTTTTCCCCTCAGTAGACTGACGGGGGCATTTCTGTGTGTTTTTTGTTCACATTTATCTATGAAGATCCACTTAACAACACATAGTTTAAATTTAAAGGGCCCATATACTCCTACCCCAACCCTCTGCTCTCCCTGTACTATATTCACTTATAATGTTTATGTAATTTTATAAGCCTTTTTTGTTTTGCCTTAAAAAAAACTCATCAATGGTGAAAATAATCAGTAGATTACTCAGTTACTAATACAACAAACAGTGGCAGCCCTAAGAAGGATACGATTGTTAGAAAGGAATTAAGACAGGCATACATGAATTACAGATCAGATAATTAAAGATAATTGGAAAACAAAGAAAATAAAATAATTGTATTAGCCTGAGAATAAGCATTCATAAACGTTATTTATTTAAACTGTGATCTTAAAGCACCTTTGCTCCACTGCTTTTACTTCATTCAGATCAACGGCCTCGTGTTTAAACTGTTAGGGGAATTTTTGGACGTTTCTGTCTCGCCGCTTTTCATCGCTCCTCCTGCTGATCTGAGATCAGTTTCGTTTTTCCTTCATGCCGGCCTTACACCAAACGACTTTTCAAGCGATTTCTCTATCGCAGACAAATATCCATGTCGGGATAAAATCATGAGAGTCTTGCTAGAGTTGCGTCGCGCTCGCGTCATCTCGATCGTTTAGTGTAAGGTGGTGGTGAAGACGGTGGTCTTAAGTCAGCCCTGTTCAACCGTGTTTAATATTATCGTAAGTTTTAAGTCTTGGCTCATGCAAATAGTGACGCGCCAGGGGCGCGCGTGAGTGCTTGCGGGCGAGCGCATGCGCGCGGCGCGGGAGGGGGAGGGAGAGAGAGAGAGAGAGAGAGAGAGAGAGAGAGAGAGAGAGAGCGAGAGGATGTATGTGTGAGTGCCTGAAATCTCTTTAAAAACAGCAAATCTGCTCCACTTTAATACAATAATCAAATTAGCTTAAAATGTAATGTGACTGCTTTTGACTTTAAGAATGGCATTATTGAAGAATCATTGCCGTTTTTTCATTTTTTTATTTCAATTTGTTTGCTTTCTGTTACAGTGTTTTTTACGGTTTAGTTCATAATATCCAATCAACAAGGCTGATTCGCTGCATGTTGTGTTGATATGTAAATCTTTATGTTAAATAAAAAAGTAAATGCACATTTTACAGGTTAATTAAAAGATTCTGGGTGATGATCTGCCAGTTCTACAGTGAACTGGGCTGAGCCCCAGATCTTTACATGCTCAGCTAGTGTATCTTCCCATCTGTACCACTATAGAGTGGAAGGAAAAGGGTTTCTCTGTTTGCATATTTTCACCAGGTGCATGATGGGAAATAATCTAAAAAGTCTAGTTGCAGTCTTGTAAATAGTGACACTGCAAGATTTCCTGTCTTTTCAAAATCATAATCTGTGACTAAAAACTGTGACACTGTCTTTAGATGTGAGAGGGTGTCAGACTTCAGTCTTTCAAAAGTCTTTTCAAAGCCTTCTCTCTATGCGGCTCTGTGCAGGATCAGCCGTTTCAGAGTGATGTGAGGCGCCGTCACCATTTAGGAACCAATCAGCTCTTTGCTTCTTCCTTCAGAGGGCGGGAATTAAAGACGTCTTCGAATCGTATTGGTGCTGACGGCGTGAAGGCGAGTTTTCTCAAATGTGATTGGTTGGAATACCGGCAATATAAATACATGTTCTGGAAGATTCGTCCGCTCTCACTGCAGCAACGAGGTAAGGCAGGCACCGCCTCAGGACAATTCCAGTTTTCATCGGCCTCTGATAAAGTAATCTTGGTGAGTATTGAGCAAAACGCTCTCCAGCTGCTTCGCCATAAACCTGTATAAAGCTTAGTTTATTTGTAGGTTATTGCTTCGGCTCAGTAACGTTAGGATGGATTGTTTCTGTGAGAAAAGCTTATTAGCAAAATGGTCTACTACATTAGTGAAGTAGGCTTTAATAGTATAATATTTTTTTTTATTCCGTGAAATGTTCCTTACTTAACCTAGGTTAGCTTGGTCTCGATGGTGTGTAACAAAGGTGGAGACGGGCGGTTAGCTTTCTTGCTAGCCAGTTAGCTAAGGCCACTGCTCCAAATGAGGAAGTGGGGTAGCTAAGGTGGCTATTACGTAACATTACCATTTTAATTTTTAAACAGGGACGCTAACACTTCATTTTATCTGCCACGCTATCAAATTTAACTTGGATGCATATCTCTACATAACCAAGTTCTGGCTTAACGTTAATTTGAATGACTTGTTAAGAATTTGCTGCCTAACAATGTGCTTGCTATCCAACATGGTGGCTAGCTCTGTAGCAGCTGCTTCAGAATCTTCTAGAAGCCCTGACCACGTGGTCGTGGCTCACTTCCGTTAACTTACATTTTGGTTGGGCCCTAAGGGTAGTAGCAGGGTTCATGGAATTTGACAGTTATGAAATTTAAGAAGGGATGTGTTCAGTTATGCACCTTATTTAAGTACAGTAATGTGATTTTGGAATTATTCTGCTTTTTCTAATACAGGCACAATGTCTAAAGGACCAGCCGTTGGCATTGATCTGGGGACCACCTACTCCTGTGTTGGAGTCTTCCAGCATGGCAAAGTTGAAATTATTGCCAATGACCAAGGAAACAGGACCACGCCAAGCTATGTGGCTTTCACCGACACCGAAAGGCTGATTGGTGATGCAGCCAAAAACCAGGTTGCCATGAACCCCACCAACACCATCTTTGGTCAGTGCGTCCTTCATTGCCTGTTTTTTACCATTTTTTTTAGTTGTAAATCTGCATTGATTACTGTGATTTGATTCAAGTAATAAAGTTGCATGAAATGATTATTCAGGTTGAGGGATAGTTTCGCTATGATGAAGTTGATTCCTGCCATTCGTAGTTTCCACCAGAGGTCGAAAGACCAGAGATGGCACAAGTTCCTTCCTTGGATGTCTGAGCGAACCAAGAACAAAAAACTAGGTCTAAGGCATGTAAATCTTTGTGCTCTAAATGCGATTTGTTCCTTTGACAGATGCCAAAAGGTTGATTGGCCGGAGGTTTGATGATGGAATTGTGCAATCCGACATGAAGCACTGGCCATTTACAGTAATCAATGACAACAGCCGTCCCAAAGTTCAGGTTGAATACAAAGGAGAGACCAAGTCGTTCTACCCTGAAGAGATTTCATCCATGGTGCTCATCAAAATGAAGGAAATTGCTGAGGCCTATCTTGGAAAGGTATTGTAACCTTCTTGTGATGTTGGTTGGCAGGTAGATCAAATGTTTGTCCTTTTATTGGAACAGCCTTAAGTGGTTACAGATATTAAGTGGGCTACAAGTTGCTGAGCGAGTGAATTTCCTGTGTTCTTAACTTAATTAGTATTGACTGACTGCAGTTATAATTTATCATCTTCCAGATCGTCACAAATGCTGTGATCACAGTGCCTGCCTACTTCAATGACTCTCAGCGTCAGGCCACTAAGGATGCAGGGACCATCTCTGGCCTGAATGTTCTGCGCATCATCAATGAGCCAACTGCTGCTGCCATCGCCTATGGTCTAGACAAAAAGGTTGGTTAGGGTTTTTGTATAAAAGGCTATGGCAAACCACTGTCTATTTGCAGTTTCCTCATTACGAGTAGTATTCGCTATGATGAAGTTGATTCCTGCCATTCGTAGTTTCCACCAGAGGTTGAAAAACCAAAGATGGCCCAAGTTCCTTCCTTGGATGTCTGAGCGAAATGGCTTATTTTTAATACTGCCTTTTTTAGTTTACCTGGTTTTTGATGAGAGTTCCTCTTCATTTAGGTTGGTGCTGAGAGGAATGTCCTCATCTTTGATCTTGGTGGTGGCACCTTCGACGTGTCCATCCTGACCATTGAAGATGGTATCTTTGAGGTCAAATCCACTGCAGGTGACACTCACTTGGGTGGTGAAGACTTCGACAACCGCATGGTGAACCACTTCATTACAGAATTCAAGCGCAAGCACAAGAAGGACATCAGCGACAACAAGAGAGCCGTTCGTCGTCTGCGCACTGCCTGCGAGCGGGCCAAGCGTACCCTGTCCTCCAGCACTCAGGCCAGCATTGAGATCGACTCCCTTTATGAGGGAATTGATTTCTACACCTCAATCACCAGGGCTCGCTTTGAGGAGCTCAACGCTGATCTGTTCCGTGGCACCTTGGACCCAGTGGAGAAATCGCTTCGTGATGCTAAAATGGACAAAGCTCAGATCCATGACATCGTCCTTGTTGGTGGTTCTACTCGTATCCCCAAGATCCAGAAGCTCCTCCAAGACTTCTTCAATGGCAAAGAACTAAATAAGAGCATCAACCCTGATGAGGCTGTGGCTTATGGAGCAGGTATGTTAATGTCAGCATATTCATATCTCAAAATAAAGTTCGCTATGATGAAGTATATTCCTGCCATTCGTAGTTTCCACCAGAGGTTGAAAAACCAAAGATGGCCCAAGTACCTTCCTTGGATGTCTGAGCGACAGTGATGGTCAAATTTATATTTTTGTTTGGTCTACTTTAGGATGCTATAATAAATTGTATGTCTCTTTGTATTTCAGCTGTCCAGGCTGCCATCCTCTCTGGTGACAAGTCTGAAAATGTTCAGGACCTGCTGCTGCTGGATGTCACCCCTCTGTCTCTTGGAATTGAGACAGCTGGTGGAGTCATGACAGCTCTGATCAAGCGCAACACCACCATTCCTACCAAGCAGACCCAGACTTTCACCACCTACTCCGACAACCAGCCTGGTGTGCTGATTCAGGTAAAGACACAGTCCTTACGGTGGATGTTCTGGCTGTCGCTATGATGAAGTTGATTCCTGCCATTCGTAGTTTCCACCAGAGGTTAAAAGACCAAAGATGGCCCAAGTACCTTCCTTGGATGTCTGAGCGATTAGAACTTATAAATAAATTGTAATTCTTTTGTATATAGATTTGTAATCAAAGCTGATCTTTTTCAGGTGTACGAGGGTGAGCGTGCCATGACCAAAGATAACAACCTGCTGGGCAAGTTTGAGCTGACTGGAATTCCCCCTGCTCCCCGTGGTGTTCCCCAGATTGAGGTCACCTTTGACATTGATGCTAACGGCATCATGAATGTCTCTGCTGCTGACAAGAGCACCGGCAAGGAGAACAAGATCACCATCACCAATGACAAGGGTAGGTTCAAAATGCTTTAGTGCTATTTAAAGCTTAATTGGTGGGTTTCTGTGTCCCTTCACCTTGGGTACCATTGTCATGAGCTTTTTCTTCTCCACAGGTCGCCTCAGCAAGGAGGATATTGAGCGCATGGTGCAGGAGGCTGAGAAGTACAAAGCGGAGGATGACGTTCAGCGCGACAAGGTTTCTGCTAAGAACGGCCTGGAGTCCTATGCCTTCAACATGAAGTCCACCGTCGAGGATGAGAAGCTGAAGGGCAAGATCAGTGATGAGGACAAGCAGAAGATTCTGGACAAATGCAATGAAGTTATCAGCTGGCTCGACAAGAATCAGGTACCATTTTTAAAGCTTTGTTTTGCTTACACAAATCAGTGACTGCAAGTGAACTAGGAAAAGGAAATCTGAGCAGAAATTAATGTGCTGCTATGTGCCCCCAGACTGCTGAGAAAGACGAGTTTGAGCACCAGCAAAAGGAGCTGGAGAAGGTCTGCAACCCAATCATCACCAAACTGTATCAGAGTGCTGGAGGCATGCCAGGTGGAATGCCTGAAGGAATGCCCGGTGGCTTCCCGGGAGCCGGAGCTGCACCAGGTGGTGGATCTTCTGGACCAACCATCGAGGAGGTCGATTAAGCCTTTCCGAACCCACTCTACCTCCACAGCAATGTTTACTGTTCTTACCCTCTGTAACAGGATTCTTCTAAAACTTATGGTTAAGGTGTTGGTGGGTTTTAGCTGAGATTCTGCTGCAGAGTGCCTGCAGAAAAAAAGGGATTAAGGGATCACTTCCACACCAGGGAACAGATTTTTCTACTTGAATGTTGCATAGTTTTATTTATCAACTGCTAGGGAACAAGTTTAATAAGCCTTTTTGCAACTGCCTTGTTTCTCGCCTTGAAGTAAAACATGAATAAAGTGGTGACTTCTTCCCATCATTTCTTGTTGTCTCTGTCTACATGCTGTTGACATTTAACACCAGCTCATCAGGTGCAATGCCACATAGATTGAACAATACACAGATGTCTTCATACTGGTGCACTTCACAGCTTTAAAATGGTCAGTAAGGGTTCTGCTGGTAGGTTCTCTTAAACTAGCTAGGTCATCGCTTGCAAGGACTTTTGCCAAGCTAATGTCTGTAGTGAGGTAATGGTTAAATTGAAATTCTCAGAGCCAAAATAAAGTACCAAATATGTAAAGTTGTAAACCGGCTCATAAGCATGTGCAGCTGTGCTTATAAAGTTCTGCAGCCCTGGAGCTTTGTTTTAATTTTTCTTGCTCACACCTTTAACCCATCAGCTAATAACAAAGCACGTCCTGAGCTGAAATTGGTGTGTAATTCTACAGTAATGGGTTAAAATAATGGGCGACTGATTCTTATAGGCCTTGCGGGGCTCTGCCTTTAAGATTTTAACGCAATCTGCAGAATGTTAGATGTGTCAAACTAAACATGCGAATACACATTTTCACGAAGATTGATTTTTCAGGGTTTAATGGTCTTTAAAGCCTGCGCATTTCACGCTCTCTACAGTTGCACATTAATCACCTCCACTTACTGCGCATGTGCGAACACACTGAACAACACACCGTCGCGTCCGTGTTTCCATGGCAACTTCTAAGCGAGCCGCAGCCACTCCAACGGCTAAAGTGGGTGAGAAGCCTTTTGCGTTCGGCTTTAATAGCAAACAGATTTAAATCCTGACGTGTCTAGTCGAGCTATGTATGATTTAAGGCATTCTTATCGAAATTATCATCCGTGTCCTTTTTTGTAAATATGACCTGGTTCTGAATGAACTAAGCTTCGGTCAAAAGTCAGGCTAACTGGCCTAGCTAACGTTAGTTAGCTTAGCTAGGTTAAGTTAGCTAAGGTTGGTTAGCGTTAACCTACTAAGTTAGAACAGAGTTCGCTTGTGCTAGTTATAAAACTAGCTGAAAAGCGCCTCTTTCTCGCTTATAAACTTTCTCATCTAATGTCAGAAATTAGATAACGCTATAATGTCAGGAAACTCTGATTCATGACATCTAACTTAACGCAATGGACAGCAGCGTCACTGAACGACGAGAGGGTGATGAAACTGACGGCGCAGATGAGAGTAAAAGGACAGGAATGACATTTGACATGATCAGTGATGCCAGTCGAAGGAGTGCCAATGTGTCTCCTAACCTCTGGGACTCCTTAGAGTCAGATACTGAAAGTTTAGTGCAGGAAAAAGCTTACCAGCGGGAGCTTCAGAAGCGCATTTTGGGTGAAGACAATGGCAAAAGCCTTTATGCTGCAAACTCCGACAAATATTGTGTGAATGTGGACGTGGAGAGGTCAGAGTATGAAGACAGCTATCGGGAAACTGAACAGACGCTTCCAGAAACACAACTGACTGGCACCAAGAGACATGGACCTCCTGGCAAAAGCATAGAATTACCAAGGTAGTCTATCTGCTCACATTCATGTTAATGAAATATATGTATTGTATGTAATCATTGTTGTTTATTCTTGGCATGAAGTACAGAGAAGGGAAATATTCAGAAACCTTTGTTCTTGTTTTCTTTTTTTTTTGCTGAACAAAAAGCATTTATTGGCAGAAACAAAAATGTGTTTAAAAAACTATAAAGTTACTGACAGGGAAAAAATATTGAGACACTGATCAGCCATAACATCAAAACTTGTATCTATAGTCATTGTCCACTTGATCAATCTCCCTTACTATATAGGTGCACTTTGTACTTCTACAATTACAGACTGTAGTCTGTCTGTTTATCTACATTCTTTTAGGCCTCTCTTTCACCTTGTTATTCAATGGTCAGAACTCTCAATAATACCCAGAGCAGGTATTATTTGGGTGGTGGATCATTCTCAGCACTGCAGTGACACTGATGTGGTGGTGGTGTGTTAGTATGTGTTGCACTTTTTAAACGCTATGCCCACTCACTGTCCACTCTGATAGACACTCCTACCTTGTTGGCAAACCTTGTAGACGTAAAGTCAGAGCCAGTAGCTCATCTCTTGCTGCACGGTTTGCGTTAATCATTCTCTAGTCCTTCATCAGTGGTCACAGGACGCTGTTGGCTGGATTCTTTTGGTTAGTGGACAATTCTCAGTCCAGCAGTGACTCTAGGGTGTTTAAAAACTCCAGCAGCACTGCTGTGTGCTGATCCCAAAGGTATGATCCTAATGTCACCACACCCACAGTGAAATATGAAGGTGGGAGCATCATGATATAGTGCTGCTTCACTGCAAACAGTACTGGGACATTATACATCATCAAAGGACACACCAAGACATATTACAGTAGAATCTAATCTTATCAGCCCAGAAACTGAACCTGAGGAGATGGACGTTTCAACAAGACAACAACCCCAAATATACAGCCGAAATAACTCGACTGGTTTCTAAAAAAGATAGTTAAGGTGCTTACATGGCCTAGCGAACTCTTGACCATTAAAAATTTGTATTCAGAGATTACGAGGACCTTCGTAACTTTGGAGAATTGAAGATGGTTTGCTTAGAGAAAAGAAGCAAAACTAAACCACAAAGCTGCAAAAATGTAAATACTTTTTACCGTAGACTTCTCAAAGCTGTAATTGCAAACAATGGATTTGCACCAAAGAAATAGCGTTATTAAGTTGTGTTGTCTGAAAACTATCTTTGTTCTTAAGTTACTTGTACCATCTTCAGTTCCTTATCATGGAACACTATAGTTTCACTTTTTAAATAAAAGAGCTGGATGTAGTATGTAAACATTGATTTATTCCCTGCTTCATATATTTAATCTGCAAGTTTTTTTTTATTGTTTTTTTGTGATATTATGCAAACCAACACTTTTTAATATTTCCAAGCCAAACAAAAATCAGGAGGATAGACAGACAGTACATAAGGCAAACAAATAAAGCGAAAAGCAAGACAAGCCAAACATAAAAAATAACAAATAGGCAGTATAACAAACAAATACAGTAAAATAAACTACATGCATGTTTGCATATACACACACAAATACATACACACATTCAGCATCTTTGTACCAAAAATACAGTAGTCTACTGTAGTAATCAGTGTCAATAATTACTAGGTAATATTGCTTTGCCATACAGAAGAAAGAGAGAGCCAGGGTGCAGGGTGGTTCTCAGAGACAAAAATAAAATGAAAGAAAATGTAGGATGTGGTCTCATTAAACTACATTTAACATTAGGTAGTTATAAACAAGTTTCTCTGAAATCCATTTACCCTCAGTGTTATTTGCTTATATGTCACTTGATTGTTGATTGCGTTTTACATTACACAGAGAAAAACATAACAGGAGTTGTGGGCAATAACGGAGACCCTAAACCCTAAATATTCATGTCATTATCTGAGATCGACTTGAATGCCCTATTGAGGGTAATACAGTATATTGTGCCATCAGTAATGGATGTGAGTAATTAGGCTCTCTGAAACAGACCCAGTAAACAATGGCAATACCTGACATAGAATAGATCACTCCCAACATGATAAGACCTTTTTATTGTAGAGCAGCCCAGGAAACATAATTGAAATGATTAACAGCTTGTATTCGCTCGCCTAATAGATAATGGCAGTCTTTGAAAATGATGTTAGAGTACGTGCATTTTAATTTAGTTGAAAGACCTCTAATTTTGGCACTTTCCATATAACTACCCTCATTTAAAGGAAATTAGATTTTTATTCTGCAGGAGGTTATCACAATAAGGCCTCTTTCTGAAGCCTATTAAAAAAGCTGAAGCTTTGTTGTGCTTTAAATAGGAGGCCTTTCTGCAGTGTGAAAACACAGATGCTGGAATCTGAAGTGTCCCTCGCAGCATCTATGTAGACTCATCCACCTTCACCCCAGCCTCAATCCCCAAGCAGGACGGCTGCAGTGGAGACTACCTCCACCCCAACTGTGTGTGACCCCACTTGTTTTCTCCCCTCGGTAGACTGACGGGGGCATTTCTGTGTGTTTTTGTTCACATTGGTGTGGGAAGAGCCACTAAACAACACATAGTTTGAATTTAAAGGGCTTATACACCCCTACCCCAACCCTCTGCTCTCCCTGAAATAGGTTCATTATGATAATTGTGCGAATTTATATATGAAAAAAAATTTTATGACCATTTTCAAACCTCTCTTTATCCCGTAGGCTTTGAATTTTTTGTTAGTTTTGAGTTTTTGTTACTGCGTCTTTTGTTGTTTTGTTATGTAAATAATCTCTGTTCTAATTGGCTACCCTAAATTGTGCCCTTGTACAACACTTCTTACATCAGTGTGAAAGGGCGGGGCTAAACTGCAGATATGTGTAAATGTGCTGGTTTGAATTTAACAGTGAATTTAAAACAAGCTGTTTTGCAGCTTAGTTTCAGTAAAAGAACCAGGGAATGAACAATATGTTTAGAAACTAAACTTACATAATACATCAAACTTTTATTTAAAAATAGGAAAAATTTACATTATATTGCAGTTTTCTATTACGTGAGTTCTTTTATGGCCATGTTATGTCTTAAGATGTTCTCTGAGTTCATTATTAATGTAAGTGTGGTGTGTAGGTGTTCTTGTACTTTTGTCCATATAGTGTATTTAGCTTATTACTATCTCAATTAATACCTTCAATTTAAATAGATCATAACATAGTTCTTGTAAATATCTAAGATGAAAGATTATTGTTGCGCTTCATAAAACATACAAAGTAGGTTACTTCAGGTCCTGCTCCCAAAGTCATTGCCCTCTTCTATGTATGTTCTGTTAGGGTCTGCTTAAGTTACAGTACAACAGCAAGTAGATATACTCAGTTGCACAGACAGAAATCAAATGAATCAGAAAACCATTTCATAATACAATAAATTGATCAAAGATAGCCTCTTTTATATAAAACAATTAAGATTAAGTTCCTAATTCATACAGTCAGGGAACAGAGATAAAAGTTCATAAATCCAAAAGGTCTCCCTCTGTAATAATCTTTTGTCCTGATTTCCCCTCAGTTTTTTGCAGCATAGCCCTCTCAATACCCAGGAAACATGAATCTGCAAGAGCATGTTTAGCTTCAAATGTTTAGATTCAAAATGATGAAAACCAGGAAATCCTGCCTGTGAATCACACTCATATGTTAAATTATTCTGGTCTACAGAGCTCGTCTAGTTTTACCAACATACAATAGAGGCCAAGGACACATGATGACATAGGCAGCATGTGTAGCTCTACAAGTTATGAATTGTCTGAAATGATATGTTTTCGAAGTTTAAGGGTGTGTAAAGGTTTACAGTTCACAAACAGAACAAGAGATTCAATAGTGACAAAGTAAATTACTTAATAGGAACATATCACTCCTGTCAGAAGAAAACCTCGTATCTCTGTTTTTGTCGTTTTTTAGTTTTGAACATAATTTGAAAATGCATGTGGCCCTTTACATTGTATGTAAATTTTATGATGAATGGACCAAACGAAATGGCTCAAAATGACTTGAAAAAAATTCTGGTTCCACTGACTTACATCAAAAGTGATATAGGTTTTCTTGTCTCCTGTAAAGTTATCATTTTGGAGATACAAGGTTTTCTTCCAGCAACAGCGATATGCATCTGATTGTACACATTTGTCCCTTAAATGTTTTCCTCTAGAAAAGATACAGAGGGGAGTATCTCTAAAAAGATCCAATAGTCCATCATCACTTTGTAAAATGTAACAGTGATTGTTGGTGATATTCTTAATCTCCTGACTAGAAGCTCTGAACGTAAATTTAAAAATAGAAAAAAAATTTGATTTTGTTGTCTGGAGCCTTCTGGAGTCCTAAGTAGTGTGAGGTATGTACCTCCTTTAAAGCAGAATCAAGCCAATTGTGTGGATACCCATGGATACAGAGGTCCTTGAATAGGTTCTGGGCTTTAGCCTGAAAATCAGCTGCAGTTTGAACTAATTTGGTAGAATGATCTATATGGATCCGTATCCTCACAGAAATGAACAGTTACAGGGCCAGTTACTGTAAGAAGGTCAGATTACTGACCACAGTTCAAGTCTAAGTATAGAAGAATGGTGAACCAAAATTGCCAGTGCAGTTTAGCTCAAGACTAATTCAAGTCTAGAAAACTGGACCTCGGTGTTTTACACTGTCTTTAGTATTACTGTAAAATTGCGTGTTTGGGAGGCAAAAGTCCTATTCAGTGTTTGAAAAAAAAGCGAAGAGCAGTGTTCAGGGTGGGACTAGATTTCTTTTTGGAGCAGTTCAAAAAAAGCTTTGAGAGGGTTTTCGTATGTTAAGGAGCTTCCACAGCTGTGAGCCCACACTGCATTCTCAAGCTTGTTTCAACTGAGTCATTACTGAGTCGTTCCCTGCCCTCTTGCCCTCGTTGGCTGAAGAGCCATACGCCTCGCCTGCGCCATATTTGGCATCATGAGATGTGAAGTGCATCTTGTAGCATTCAGAGCTGTGCAACAAAGAGGCACTCTTCTAATTATTTTAATGAGATCTTTTCATCCAGTGATGCAAGGAGCACATTAGGTAGTAATTTCAACCTATTTCATACCCTTGAATCAGCCATTTCCAAAACTATGCCCCAATTGTCGTCTCAAGACCCTTCATCATTAGGGGCTAAGGTGGGGGAAACACAAGGATGAGACTACATCAGGCAAAAGAAACGAGAAGTATACGCTGTGTGCTATGTGATGCACTAGACCTTTTCCCTGCTGTTTAAATGCTTATTTCTTGTTGCTTAAATGACTATGGGCTACTTTTCCTGTATATAAACATACATAAATGAAATAAAGTTTAGAGGTAATAACTACAACATAATCTGCCATCTTTTTTTTGTAGAAACTAGTAAATGTACATTAGGTTGCCAATTTTATAGGCGATACCTTTCCTTTCTTCTACCTATGGGCTATTTTAGAAATGCTTACCTTACAGTGTAGGTGCACTTTGTAGTTACAGTTACTGACTGAAGCTCGTCTGTTGCTATGCACATCCTTTGCCCTCTCCATAAATGGCAGGGGATCACCATAGTACCACTGTTATGCAAGTATTATTTGGGTGGTGGACAGGGTTGTGATGTATTAGCAATACACATTCATACAAAAGTTAAGTGTTTATATTCAAGTTAAATTTTTTAAAGGTGGTATTCACAATAAAGTTAGCATTGGGATGGGAGCAGCAGTGGGTTGAAGTAATTTTTTTATTAAAACAAACTTACAGAAGAATTACATGAAGAAAACCTGTGACCAGAGAAACAGTGAATTAAATAAAAACTAGAACAGAGCCTTTTCTATCTGCCTTATTGATATGTATTCTAAATGTCCTCTGAATGTGTTTCTTTTTTATGCATTGTAATAAAATATGTTACTGACGTATTTAGGCCAGAGTATATTCAGTACTCACTACTAGCCATCACTATTTCCTCAAAGCATTCTGCCCAGCAGTGGTAGTGCCATGTTTACTGGATGTTGTGCTGGTGTAAGTCAGTCTGGTGTAGCAACATTGCTGAGATTTTTACACACCACAGTATGACTGTTGTGTTAAAAATAGTCTGCCAAGAAAAAAATGTCAGAATTATACACAGTGTGTGTCTGTTACACCCACTGCCATGCCACCACGATGTTGGTATCACTGCTGTCCTGAGAATAATTCACCACCAGAATAATATCTAGTCAGCAAAAGTCCTATGGTGGTCTCTGTCCCTTTATGGATAAGATACAGGGAAGCTGATAAATTGTACTTGGCAAGCCAGTAATTGTATACCTCCAAAGTGCACCTGTAGTACTGTGCTGAAGTTAGAGGCCTCTGACTTTTGCACAGTACTATATCAAATATAATTTTTCAATATATAATGTATTTACCCTTCACCTTTTCACCAGCTTTAATTCTTATCAGCAGACTTATTTTCAGAGAAATCTGCAGAGATAATTTTCCACAGCACCAAAGTTCAATCTTAGAAATTGATTGTGTATTGTGCTTCCCAATGATGTTGAGGTCTGGACTCTGGGATGGTCAGTCCATTGTTCTGAGAACATCAGCAGCTTTTTCTGTTTAATTTGCACCTTTTTTTGTCTATTTTATTGTCTTAGCAAGAGCTTCTTGACAGATCCAATGGATACACATTCATTTAGACTGATAGTCTTGCGTTATCTTCTCATGGTGGAAGAATGGACAGAAACACCTGTGGATTTTTTCAAATATGAAGCAAGAGTGGAGCTTGATTTTCACCAGTCTTTTCAAGACAAAATCTTTATGTACTGTTAATTTGATGGTGACAGTTTTGATGGTCTACCAGGTCTTGCATGGTTGTTATGAGTTCCATTTTCTCTCCTTTTAGAAACTCTTTTTTTGTAATCTGTTTTCCTTTGACTTTCTTTGGAATACTTTATATCCAATTTATGAAAAATGAATCACTTGGCTTAATGGTTAAGGGGTGGTTTCTGACTTTTGCACCATACTGTATACAGAGGTACCTGATAAAAAAGCCATTCAGCATAGGTACACAGTATACATAATGAACTGGAAAGTTTATGTAACATGCTTCTGATTTCAGACAGAGCCCTCCTGGGGACGAATATGCTGACTTGCGCTATGATCCAGACTGGAGACGAAATCTGGCTGGGGCTGAGTTTCTCAGCCAAGTCCAGACCAGCCTGTCCCTGGATTCCTCTGATGAGCCTGGAGACACTGACAGGTGCCTAGAAGATGTGACTGCAATAGGGAGACATGAATATGTAGTAGTGAGTAATCCTGCTTTGGCAGAAATGGATACTTTTCAGCCTGGCCCTCCTTCATCTTCCTTTCACCTTCACCCTCAGCAGAACCAGTTCAGTCATGAAGACACAGCTCCATCTGTCCCACAGAGTTTGTCTACGTCTTCAGAGAACACGCCACGTTTGAATTCAGACAGGGCCTTCAAGGCTAGGGACAGATTTATCGACCACCAAAGCACTGCTGAAATCTCTCCCTCTTCTTCTCCACGATACAGGCAGCAGAGAGACAGTAACAAGCAATACGACAGAGAGGATCAAAGCAGTTCTACTGCTCGGAAAGAAAGCGAAGACAAGCTCAACTTAGCACTTCCACAGAGGAGACGTTCTCAAAAAGTTAGACAGCTCAGACCAAGAGAGGACATAGTGGAACGTAATAAAGCAACCTTAGGTATGAACACTCAAAAACAAGGATCCTATCTGAAGGCATATGGACAGAGAGGAAGGAAAGAAGAAGAAGCAAATGAGGTTTGTCTTTATTTGCTTTTCTTACAGTTCTGTTACTTCTCATTTTGGTCAGTCCTCTAGTGTTATGAAATAAAAAAAATGTTGTGTAGTTAGTTGTATGATTGTTTAAATCAAAACAACAACAGGCTACCTGTTTACTTCATGTTTTCATGGTTATTATAAGGTGGTTGCTGGAAGTGGCCTCATCTTGGCCAACTATGTTATTTTATAGTTCGTGTCAGGCTGCATTGTCTCAGTGGGCCACCAGGGGCCGCAATAACACAGCACACAATCCGGAGGTCCCAGCCAACATCCTCTGTCCGTGCTCTCTTTCTGTTTTCTTTTTCCACGTTTCCATTGCTAAATTCATACATAGATCATACTTTTTTTAATGGTTTGGTTGAAAGATTGTGTGCTGTTCAACATATCAAATGTTTTATTAAATGATCTTCAGTTGCATAGGAGAAAAAGGCCTAATGATCTGATGTTTAGATTTCTTTTAGAATATTCATAATACTGCTGCTTAAATTGACATAGAGAGTTGATATAGTTAATATGAATATATACAAAAACTGGACTGTTACTTAGAAAGACTTTAATTTTTTGATTTTATGGTTGACAGATTGTGTGCTGGGCATATATATATATATATATATATATATATATATATATATATATATATATATATATATATATATATAAGAAAACCTTGTATCTCCATTTTTGTTTTTTAGTTTTTTACATAATTTGAAAATATTTGACAAATTTTTGGTTCCCGTTGACTTGCATTAAAAGTAAAATGTGTTTTTTCCTTCTCCTGTAAAGTTATCATTTTGCAGATACAAGGTTTTTGCCCAGCACACGATCTATCAACCATAAAATCAAAAAATTCAAGTCTGTCTACGTAACATATAATATATATAATGTGCCATATTAATTTCATAGGTTCATAGGCCTGTCCCTTCTGTCCCTTCTAGTTTAACATTATGTGCATACAAATGAATGAAAGAATGAAAGACATAAAGCTGTTGACCTATCATATAATTGTAACCGACATTACAAATGTCCTGAAGCATTTGTATTTTTAGTTCAGAACAGCCTCCTTTCTTTAGTCTATTGTAAGCAGATGTCCACATTGTTTCTGCTCAACAAGTATGCCATATTTGATATGACCTGACCTGTATCATTGCCCTTTAAAAAAAATCTGAATGTGTAAGTGACCTTGCTATTATAGTGGGGCCATACTGAAAGAGAACAGGCAGCCTAATCTAACTGTGGCTCGGAAATTAATTTGGCAGACACTGGAAGCAGAAAAAGGGGAAAGGAAGCATGTCTGGCTATGTAGTGCCTATTATGAGTTGATCTGCACAACAGTAGCTATTAAGAACATCAGAGAGGCATGGTTACCAATAGGCTCTTAGCTATCAGTGCACCTGGCCTTGCCGTGTAATTGGCAGGCTCGGCCTGTCTGCGCGCTGCACCATATGAGGATTTGCTACATTTCAGGCCTTTGCTGGCCCATCTGAGCCCATACCCACCTTAATGTCTCATGTCAGATGCATTAGCATAGTGAAGAGCTGTTAGCATTGTGACATGGTAAACAGAGCAAGGGCTTCCCTCCCCGAATGCCACTCTGATTGTACCACCACAGACCACAGTCTGTCAGGTAAGACTCGTACTGTAGATGGAGGTTGTTATGGTCTAAAACCCCTTTATATATCTTTATTTATCATCCAAACCCATAATAAAGATTGACTTGTGTGATTAGAATTTTAGCATTGTGCATTTTCCCTTTCTTTCTGGAAATGAGGCTTGGATTGTTTTCCATTCATTTGTTTTTATTTGGTTTTATATGATGTAAAAGGAAAGATCACAGAAGATCACAGAAGGCTTCATGCTGCATGAGCCCATCTATCTGATCTTATATTCTGATGTTTGCCCTTTGCTGTGCCTTTTTATTAATTTTTTTTATTTTTCCTTCAAAGGAGGAAAAAGGGGATGCTATCAGATCTGTTGCGGCATCATTACCTGGCCTCATGTGAGCGTGCTGTTGGCCCGTTTTAAAAGCCACTATTTGCTCTTTGACGGGCTCTTTACTCCCGATAATTAGCTATGTTATTAAATGTACACAATCTCATAATGCGCCAACTTTGTGGCTGAGAGTGAGGGAGTGATGCCGAGCCCCTGCAGAGGCTCCTTTGATAAAGACAGAAGTAGCAGAGCAATCTTCTGCCATTGCACTCAGCCAGAGTCCCTCGTCATCTCCCAGACCCTCACTTCAAAGCCAGGAACATAATGTACAATCTCTTAATAGCTCTAGACCGAGGCTCCGCAGCTCTCTGCCACTGTACACCCTGCCTCAGTGTAAACACCTAATCAAGATTGCCTGGGCGGCCACAATAGCAACCAAATGCAATTCAAGAACTGCAAGCCTTTGAAGTCCTCATTGCAAAAGCTGTGTTTCTCAGTCTTGAGGAAAATGGCAAGCTCAGATCGCCTGACTTTGTTGTGCCTCATCTCGCCCCAAGAGGCAATTACGGGCCCCAATTTAACAGAATAGATATTACACAGCTTATGAAGCTCAAAATGCAATTTTGTTTGATCATTTTCTCAATTTGATTGAGATTATTAAAATGGTGGACAAAAGGCTGTGGCAGTGGCTTGGGCAGAGGCTGTGGCCTGCTGCCACAGAGAGGCCGTGAAGGGCACGTCTGTGATGTCCGCCACACACACACCTGTTACTGCACGATGGCAGCACGGTACAAAACACACTAGACTTGACGAATGCAGAGCAACAAACAGTTGACTCTCCCTGCTCTGTGCCTACAATATCATAATAGTGTCATTGGCTTATTTATTATGAAGATCACAATATTATGGACCGACCTCTGGATAGTCATTTTAAAATCTGGAAGCGTCCCGCCACCATATTGTTGACATTCTGTCAGCCTAGCATTTATGAACAGTCAATGCTGATGTTGTAACAATTTGTCTTACCCCTCGAGCGGTCCTACCAAGCATGCACATATCATTAATATAACGTAATAACTTGTGTTTTCAATATTAATTCAGCCTTATTTCAAGTCTATTGCACAGACCCAGCTTACTACTTACCTCAGATAAGGTTATTTGTCAAAATATTGTCCTTTTTCTTTTAATGCTTGTAACATTTTCTGATGAGGAGTTTTAAGGTATCAAAATATCCTGCTTACAGTGTTAATGCTGGTAGCAGTTTTTAATAAGGTGACTTAGGCTATCAAAATGTTCTACTTACAGTTTTATGTAAGGAGCTACCTAATACCTAATAACATGTGCTATGGTAGGACATTTGAACAAGGTAGCACAATTCGTCAGAGCACCAGCTGTATCTTCCAAATCAAAATAGCAAGAAAAAGTCAGTTTGATCAGAGATGTTGATCTGTACCAAACTGATACGTTATCTTTGTGTTATACTGCGTTATTGCCCATGATAACATATCCAGACATCTTTAATTACCCAAAAAATGCATCAGCCTACACATCACAGGAGCTGGAGTTGCTAGCATCATTTTATTTGATCTGTGAAAAGGTCTTTTGTACCATCAACTACACCATCAAACGTCATTGTGAATGCAAAAGTGAGTAATAGCAACATATCTGTGTTTGATGGAGTTCATCAGTGTTGACTTAATGTTAGCATAGGTTGACATGTTAACATGAGCTCTAGCTGAAGCATAAGAGATCTAGACATAAATAGTTAGATTGCGTAAGTCAGTCATCAATCAATGTCAGTTGTCAATAGTGAACCATTCTCAACACAAAGGCAAAAGTGTAGAATTCATCCTTCACCTAACTGTCTATCTGTGTCAGCTTGATGAGAGCAGACTTTGGTATAGGGCTTGAGAATATGATGTCATTACGCAGTGTTTTATGGGTGATACTCCATCGTGGCATGGTTCGTCAGTCTAGGCTGGTTTGGAATAGTAGAAAAACACTAAAATTTCTACCTGCTAGCATGTTGATCTACATGACTACCAGATCACAGATGAGAGCAAAATCAAGGGAAATGTTCAGAAGGAAGGTTTAATCAGCTATTTAGACGCAGCTATGCTTAAACAGCACTTCACTGCTTTATTCACATTCCTGGCTGAGATGGCTGAAAGTTTTTCCTGTTTATTGTGGCAATCCAAAGATTTCTCCTTCGCTGTCTCAGGTCTTCAGCCTTTTTCTCCTCATGATGTCAGATAGCCACGATGCACTTAGGTTTTCTGTTGCTGTTGTTACCACATCCATAAATCACGCAGCACACCATGGCTGTATTTCATCTGTCAGGATGCTTTATTAACCAATGGTAAACAAATGGTGGATCTATGAGTGCTGCTTTGTCTGCTGATATTGCCTAACCGACCAGTGGTATGTCGGCAATATGGCAGCTCAAATGAATAAACTAAAAATATCAGCCAATATAATTGAATATTTTCAAAAATTAACCAGAAAAGTGTTTGTTAAACAGTGCTTTACTAGCTGATATGTTTGTCAGTTCTTAACAGTAAAATGTCACATGATTGTCAGTAGACCTCTGAAGTTGTGTGTCTTTCTGCAGTCGGCATCATAACTATATTAGGAACACTGGGTCTAAGCAGGTTATTAGGCTGATCACCAGTAAAACCAGCATATCGCTGTCGTCGGAAGAAAACCTCGTATCTCCAAAATGGTAACTTTACAGGAGAAGGAAAAAACCTGCTTTTCTTTTAATGCAAGTCAGTGGAACCCGAATTGTTTCCAAGTCATTTTGGGCCGTTTCTTTTTGTCCATTCATCATGAAATTTACATCATGGAGATACGAGGTTTTCTTCCGACAGCAGCGATATGTCATAATAATAAGACCAGCATAGGCCAGTTTGGACCAGCGGGGTACATCTTTTCGCACACAATTACTTAATAGAATACAAAATACAATGTCTTGTGTGCATATTGTCCTTAATTTTCACTGGATCCTTTGAATTATAAGGCTGTTTAGTAGTCAAAATATGCATATTGCTACAAGCAAGCTCACACTGCACATTGAATTAACATCAAATGAAAGTAAATTGACTATTTAACAACACTTTTATATTAACACCAACAACTACTCAAACTGTAGGCTACTACTGCGAAAACAACGTAAGTAATACACTTGTGTAATAATGTCAGTTCAATGTGCATGTAGCATTACACACATTTCAACTCTTTCAAGGTCTTTAATGACCTCATAATTAAGAGGATCAAGTAACGTTCACAGGAAATGCTTTCCCATATCTTTTTTTGATAGGGCGTAACAGGAGTGCATTATTTTTGTTTAAAAAAATATTACATTTTTCTGCAGAGACATTAGCTTTGACCTAAAGGTGCAAATATGAGCGTTATGTCGGTTACAGAATGACAACTTTAGAGATATATTACCACAGGTCTTAAGCTCAAATTAACAGCAGGTTTTTTTTATTATAAAAGTTATTATAAAGTTTGTTATAACATGTTATTCTCAAATAATTTTAAGCATTATAGTGTTTTGTGTTCAGGCTTACAAAGCTGACTTAGCAGTGTAAGCTTAACAGTCTATAAACTGTAACAGACTCTCTGAAGACTGGCATGTGATAATAAAGCCACTAAATCTTTGGAAGTGAGTGGATTTTCTCATATCAGAGATGTTTGATACCACATAAAGCACAGTGCTAATTATCATGTGTTTTATCAGCTGGAGCCATGGGATGTTAATATCAGCTTATCAGCCAACATAAAAACTGCAATTCAGAGATTTGTGTCTTTCCCTTTGACATTTTTCACTATTCTCAGTGTATACAGATATTTTAGTTTAATGCAGCTTTCCTTGTTTTTCTGCTCACACTCACTGCTGTTTTAAATTTACCAGGTTGACTATTTATTTACACTGGTCATGCTGGTGGCTGATTGTCAACTGTTGTTTTCACTTCCCTGATAAATAAACACTCCTTATTCCGTGCGTCCGACCCGCAGCAGTAGCAGCAGAGGCAGCGCAGAGATCAGCTCCCTGCATTCCTGTCCTTTCAGCGAATAGATAGGCCAGCATGGCTGCCTGTTTATTGATGGATATGTTACAACTCAATCCACTCACTGCAGCATGCTTCTTTTCGACCTTCCTCTATTCGCGCTTTCAGAATTAGCCGTGTTCGTTCAGGGACTCCTCAAGCCGTCAATAGCATCGATCAGGCAGGATTGTCCTCAGCAGTCAAAGTGACTTCAAGTTTACTAAATGATTTTCATTACAGTATTAGTGGCAGATATGCTCTCGCTGAATGGGTGCATTAAGAAAAATGGAGAGAGTGAATTGATGTAATGCGGGTATATACAGACACTTATCCTCAAACTGCTTTGAAAGGACTGTTGTAAAGGAAATCAATAGACTTCCAAAATGTGTGTCGGAGACACCTGTATGTGGGGGATTCAATGCTTAATATTCAGTAGGCTAGAATATGTCAAATGAAGTATAATATTTGCATATAATTGGTGATATGCAGTGTGTGATTTTATTTTGCAGCGGTTCGAGAGGTACATCTGGTTGTGGAATAAGATTTTGTGTGTATTCAAATTGGTTTTCTAAAGATGCTCTTTGTTTTGGTAGAATAAATCATATTCTTTACAGTTAATAGTGAACGGGCTCACTGAAATACATACAAGCAATTTATGTATTTGAGTGTTTGCCAGCAAGCAGCATTCTCTGTACTTGTTATGTATATCTTTTTCCGTCCTTTCTCTTCCCTTTCTTTACTTTTTCCTCTTCTTTGCTCTCTCTCTCTCTCTCTCTCTCTCTCTCTCTCTCCTTCCTTCTCTCTCTTCTTTCCAGCTCTTACAGCCTTCTGTGGAAACTTCCAGCATTGACAGCTATGGAAGCCCAGACAATGCCCTAGACCCAGAGCTGATGTGGATACAAAAAACTCAAAAACTAAAGGTAGGACCCCTCACTCCTGTTCAGTTTATTGATTTCGTCCATCTCTCTGTCTTTCTCTCTCTTCCTCTCTCTCTGTGGATGTAGGTGGGGCTGCTTGGCACAATCCATTGCCCTAATGCATAACTGTCAGCAAGGGCTTCTTCTCAAGATGAAAATGTCTACACAGTGGGCGCACTGTCACCCGGGATTTCATTTCCACTGTGATGGACGCAATTTCTGATAGAGTTGTTCAGGCACAATGGAGCCTCTGAAATGTCTTGAAAAGGAGCCCGTGCAGCAGAGAGAGGGGAAACGGAGAAGCATCATTATTTTGAGCACTTGAGCGGTCACCCTAATGCTGGCAGGCAGAGGAGAGTAAATATTTTCCCATTAGAATGGTGAAAGCTGGTGTTGGCTAAATCAGAGGCATTACATGCTGCGACACAGCCCCAGACCTCACCGAATAATGTGTGGCAGAACACTGTGCATGCCAGGTCTGCAGCAAAATGCATTATCTATACATCCCTATTCCTCTTTGCTCTATGACGAGGGCCATAAACCAGCTGTTGTATAAGGAAATATTTCTGCAGAATTGGATGGAATCTTCCGGCTCCTGTTCTGATAATGTTTTAAAATAGGGTTCATGTCGTTCTCAGAGCTCTCCTCGTGGCATGAATTTGTAATTTGATTAATTTAGGCATGCATTCTTTATTTTCTTTTTGGAAAGAAGTATATTTATATCTTCATCATGTTTTGGTCAAATTATTTTATTCATGCCAACATTGAGTCTTTTGTGTCATCAAGTGCAGGTCTTTTAAAAATCCTTGTCCAATTAGGGTAAGGCTACTTAACGATCGCTTCAAGTGCGCTGTATCAAGCTTGGTGTCATCATAACTTAAGCAAACTAATAACCAGTGGAGCGCTTTGCTTAGAGCTTGAATGTAAAGTGCATTTTCTTAATGTGTACCCAATTACAATAGATCCATAAAGAGGGTAAGCGCTCGGATGGAAACAGGCATCAGCTCCATAGACCCAGACCCAACCCGAATCCTCCTGTAGCGAGAGGTGATTCAGATGCAGGTCACCAACCGCAGGTTCCCACTGAAAACCAGATGCGCTCTCCGTCTGACTCTGGCAGCATCTCCCATCCAGCCAGTCAACTATCTTATCCTTCAGCTCCAACTGTCAACCTCAGCATCAACCTGAACGCTCCAGGAAAACTTGCTGAGGTGTTCCTTGGTCCTGAGCTACAACAGCCTGTTTACGCACTCACCCCACCTCCTCCACCACAATGGAGGATCAGGCCTGATGTATATAGCCCACCTTTTATACACCCTGGTTATACCATCCAACAGGGCTCTGCCCTTCAGCTGCCAGTATCTGACCTAACCCCTGGGCAACTCCACATGGGCAGTAACCATCTCCAGGGCACTGGCAGAAGGATCAATGGTGAACCTATCAGAACACACAAGAGCAGCAGTGCCAGGTCAGTTAACCACTTTCTAACCCTGTCAGTTTGGCTTGTACACTCTTGGAAAAAATGTAGCAACTTAACATAGTCTTTAGTTTCTCCCTTTCATTTTCTCTATAGAACCGTATGACAGAGGGGTCTAAAAAGGGTTCTACTTGGAACATAAATTAACATCAGATTGTTCTACAAAGATTTATAGACAAAAGCAATAAGCCATGAGAGACCAAATGTTGCAGTTATTTTATTCATGGTTAAAAGCCAGACCACACCGATCCAACTAACACCAACATTATACTGGTGGCATTTGCCAAAAAAACAGTGTGAATGGAGAAGAAAATTTGAGAATCTCCTAATAGACACATACACATGGCACCGCCAACCAAATGCCAGCATTCCCCTTGAGCATGGAAAACTTACAGCTTATGGCTTATTGCTTTAAAATGTTGGTAAAATACTGTACGACAAAACATTGTATCCTCAAAATACTAACTTTACATGAGAACAAAAAAACATTCTTAACCTTGAGTGGAGGCATTTTGGAGCATTTTTATTGCTCTATTCATCATGAGATTGTAACACAATACCTGGGGAAGCTGACATTTTCAAATTCTGTAAAAAAAAAAATTATAAATGACAAAACTGAATAGGCAAGGTTTTATTATGACAGCAACAATATGATACACAATTCAGTGCTTCCACTTAGCAATGTAGTTTAATATGGATGCAAACCAAATAAAGTTTATTTCAGCATAATGATTTTTAATAACTCAGCACATTGATACAGAAATCAACTGCAATCATATGTTTGTATATAGAGCATTATACAACAATTAGTTCCGATGACATAATCTGATAAGAATCTGGTTCAGAAGTGTTCTACCCCTGCTGTTATTTGTCATACCAGCATGTGGTTCCACAATAATTTTATCAACACAGTAACTGGTTGCTAAATAGCAACTTACTTTACACTGCAGCTAAACATGACTAATTTTCTGCTTTATCGGATATAAATCAGAAAATGTATACAGTAGATCATTTCTACAAAATAATATTTACACTGCAGCTCTTTTGGCCAAATTCTGCAGAAGTGTGTGGCAGCATGCCTACGTCACATCCCAAACCTTTCCTTGCCCCTAAACAAGATTTCTGTTGGCAGCTGTGATGCCACAACTAAACAAACTGTAATTAGCCAAAAACCAAGGGAATAAAACTCAGCAAATGAGATGGGATGTGAATTGTTTTTCAGACCTGGAACAAAATAACATTCAGGTTAATCGGGCAAATAGCTAGAGCTGAACCTGATATTACGACAGTTTTATGGCTGTCAGTAATGCACAAGGCAGCTATTGTTTTTGGTTTATTGTACTTTAATACAATATTTGGGGTATTGTTAACTTGATTCTTTATTTTTGCCGAACTCTTTTTAAAAGCAGTAGGATTCTCAAGGACTTGTGTTATTGCGAATAACGTCGCAGCTTAGGTAATATACAACACAATCACAGATTTTGTTTCTAAAAACTCATTACCTCTGATATAATAAAAATAATATAATAATATCTTTATTTATAGAGTACTTTTCATACCAGTGACAGCTCAAAGTGCTTTACAGACAGGTTATAACATTTTACAGTAATAGACAAAACAATGACAGATCGAGTTAAAAAGAAATACCAAAGAGACTATTTAACTGAACGCTAAGTTAAAGAGAAACGTTTTCATATGTTCCTTAAATGTGTGAACTGAGCCTGACTGTCTAATAAAAGGTGGAATTACCTTTTTTGTTAGTTGATATTGCATTCCCTTGCAAATAAAATGCATTACCTTGCAAATGTTTTGCGTTCCCTCGCAAAAAAATGTGTTCCCTCGCAAATGTTTCACATTATGATGCAACGGTTTGCATTCACTTGCAAAAGCTGTGCTTTGCTTAAGATCAGACATAAAGCAGCTCATTGAATTTTATGTTGATCTTGGATTGAAATATAAAGACTTGTTGCTTCTCAAAATCAAACATGATTATGCTGTTAGTGACGCAAACTGAAACTGAAGTCGAGTGTCCTCGTACAGTAAAAGCTACATTTACAGAGACTGCAGAGAACAATTGCTGAATAAACTCAGTATAGACTGCCGAAACTGGGAAAACAGCTTTTAATGCTAGCTATGCTAAAAACAAAGCACTAATGTAGGCAATGTCTTTGGGCACCTCTGGCCCTATGTTTGCTTGCTGTCTGACGAGCATATATTTTGCGAGGAAATGCAATTTTTTTGCGAGGGAACGCAATATCATTAACTTTTTTTTTTTAACCATGGCCCCTTAGGGGCTTTGTATAATGCAATATATCAAATCACAAAAAAAAATGCACTTAATGCAAAATTAGCAAGCAGGCTTGGTGTACATCTCGGATCTCAACAGAGAAAATACTGGTCCAGTCAGAGGGTTACTAATCTCTACCCACTTAAAGACAGCTGACTCATAATGACAATGGAGCAATGGAAACATTATAATAGGGAAATGTACCTTTCCATTTACCATTTACATATTAATGGCAGCAGCAGTATGTAGCATTGAAGATACCTATACAAAATGAAATTAAAATGAATCGTTGATAGAAGTGAATAAAATATTTCAAGCTTTGTAGCTCATCTGAGAGATATGGTGAGGTTACAAAGAAAGATCAAATGAAATGTAGGGGCTAGCGGGACACAGGGTAAAATGTAACATGGGTATTTCATGTCGTCATAGAGGTTCAAGCATAAGGTGCATATGGTCATCTTCTCATATTCCCAGATCAACGTCATCTGCGTATTTTCACAGCAATCAGACATGTAACATTTGAACTCACTTTGTTTATGTATGTATAGACAGAGAGAGAACTTCAAATGAAACCAAATTGTTAAATGCTGTAATAAGAGTAAATACAGTAAAAATCTATCTCTTGAACTTGATTTCTGAATGAGTCTGCACTGGAGAGTACTGGTTATTACTGTTATACAGTAATAACACAGTGGCCACTCCACGTTCTCAGCTGGGTCAAGATTCAGAGAATAATTCAGTCCATAAACTGTCATTGTGAATAAGATGTCCCCTCTTAGGGCTTGGTGATAAGGCCAAAAATGTCTTTTATTCATATTATCAGTTTTTTGTTCTTTGGGTGATACAAATTCCATATATCTTACATTCTACTTACCCATAGTGATAGACCTAATGTGAACTAGTTAAGCAGAGTGAACTAATTATGCTGAGTGATTTCTTACCTGTTAACTGTAGTTAACATTAACGTTGATCAAAAAGAAGTTCTTTGGAGAAGCAAAGAACTTTTTAACATTTTCTTTCACCATCCAAAGAAGCATCGAGGAACACTTTTTTCTAAGAGTGCAATTTACTTCTCATAATGAGAGTCATGTATTAGCAAGTCCCTATTATTTAAAGACAGCAGCCTTACTTCCACTTACCCTAGATGTAGTCAATTAGCCAAGACATGTTTAACGTCCAAATTTTCCTTCCTTTTTTAGTTTAGTGCTAAAGGCTAACATTGCTAACAAACGCTAGAAGTCAGTAGTCACCCAAATCTTTTCCATAAAACATCCACAAAACTTCTCTCAATCCACTCAAACTATATCCATATCTTCATTCAGGTTGTGTAGACTTGTTAATATGGTTTAGGACACAGCGTGACTTTCTGTGACCACAAAAATGAGCAAAACTTCACAGTGTAGCTGAACATGGCAGACAGCCACTTTAGACAACAAGTGTTATGCCAAATTCCAACTGATACATACACAGACATGGACACCACAGATTACGCTTGTGATTTCTGTTGTTTCTTTATATAAACAACTAGTAACCTTGAATTTTCAAACTGATGATATGCGTTTAAAAATAGAAACAACAGAAATAGTATAATGTCATCTAGCACCCATATGTCTGCATGATGCATGTGAACATGAGAGGTTAAATTTGGCACAGCACCTGTTGTCTAAATCGTCTGCCCGCTGGGTTCAGCTACGCAGTAAAATTTTCATTTTTATAGTTCACAGTAAACCATACTGTATCTTAAACCACATCAGTAAGTCTATGCAACCATAATGAAGACATGGATGTGGTATGAGTTGATTGAGAGAAGCTTTGGGAATGGATTTGTAGATAAGATTTGGGTGACTATTGACTTCTAGTCTTTGTTAGCAGTGTTAGCCTGTTCAATCTTGGCAAAATGGCTACATCTGGACATCTGGAGTGGAAAATTGCATAAATTCGATTTTTTACTAAACTGTTCCTTCAAACTAACACTTGTCTTGATATGACTTTTTAGGATTGCTCCAAATTGGCCACCTTTTGAAAAAGACCACAGCTTCAAGGTCCCTGAGGTGGTGCTGTATGATGAGGATGGTGTAGATTCTGCTCATATACACCAGGCATACAGCGGAGGCTATGCAGTGCTGCCCCCTATAGGCAGGTCCAACTCCAGTGACACAGAGCTGAGCAGAGACAGAACCGAGCAAAGCCCCAATGCTTTACATAGGAGCAGCTCAGAGGGGTACCTCGCACAACTGGAGAAACAAAGACAACTCAAGGCTAAAACAACTTATAAGGTGTGTGTGTATGTGTGCCTGATATCACAATGAGAGGTTAATGTTTGTTTTCTAGACCGTGTCTGGTATTGTTTCTGATGTAGTCCTTTCATTTCTTGCATGAACATGAATCTCCAGTTTCTGTTCTACCAATAATAGATTTAAGTTGGTAATACAATTTAAGTGGAGTATTTTACATTTTCACTACTCATGAGATACAGCATTTAGGACATAAGAATTTAAAGGACTGTGCAGAAGTCAGAGACCACCCACTGATTAACTACCTAGCACAACAGTCATTAAGTCCATGTTTTTCATTTTTCAGAGGAAATTTCTGAGGAGATTAGATGTAAGATAGTCCTTGCATAAAGAAAGTGAAAATCAAAGGAAAATATGTGAAAAAAACAGGAGTTTCCAAAACTGGAGTTCAAAAATGTATTAAAATTTATAGAGAAAATTAGACTCCTAACAACTGCAAGACCTGGAAGAACATCAAAACTCACCACTACATATAAAGTATGTAAAGCTTTCATCTTGGAGGAGAAAATCAAGCTCCACTCTTAATCGATATTAAAATGATGCATTTATTGCACGCCAGAAGAGCTCAGTGTTTAGGCCACGCTGGGCTGCTTTACTAAAATGTCTGCATTTTATTCAACTTACTGCATTTGTAACCCTACAGCAATAAATGTTACATTTCTCTGTAATGCTAATCTATGTAGATGTAATCTCAAATTATTTTCAGTGTAGATTGCATCGGCCCAGGCTTCCTATTTCGGTGCTTCTCATTTAAATATGTTTTCTCATTTTTTCTAACACTGAAAAATGGATGCCTTGTACATAATGGAGGTTTTGACTGGAAATTAAAGAAATAAAAGGTGGTCTCTTACTTTTGCTCAACGATGTATGTAATGAAAAGGACAAATTGACAAGCTGGTAACAAATCTATCATTTACTTATTGCACTGAACAGGATATGATGTGAAAGATGCCACATGAGCCATAGCACATTTTTACAATTCTTCTCTAATGATTATTATGGCAGTTTGCGGTTCTGCAGGTTAATTGTATAAGTAACCGAAGATGTTGTTAATTGCTCTGACATGATGATATAAGGGACGGTCACCGTAATGATGCTGAAGTGAATTAAGGGATGGGGTGATTAAGCACCGTGTGCCAGGCACGGCTGCTGAGATGCTCATTTGCATTTAACAACGGCCACTTTGTCCCGTGCCAGCATGAGGTCTGCAGGTGGGGCCCGCTGAGAAACTGACTCAGTTACCAGCAAGAATACACGGTAGCTAGAGGAGCCACACACATACTCAGAAAAACTCCAGGGATCTAGAGCTTCCATTTACTCCCAGGAAAAACACCAAATAGCTAGAGCTCCCATTTACGCCCAGGGAGAGCATCAGCCATTTTCACCCAGAGCAAACACTAGATAACTACAGTAGAGCAGCCATTTACTCCAAGAGAAAACACCAGGCAACTACAGCAGAGCTTTCATTTACAGCCGCAGAGATCTTCATTTGGACAGAGTTGCTGTTGCCATTTATATCCAAGGAAAATAATAGGCAGCCAGAGTCGCCATTTACGCTCAGAGGACACTTCAATATTATAATCATGCGAGTAAACAAATAAAGAAACTGCACACAACACCACTGAGGGGTCATTATGTCATGGAACACATTCACTTGACACCATGTCGGGATTAAGTCGTCCTTACGCCATAAAGCAGATTGCTTCTTCTCTTCACCTCACCGTGTCCGCCGTCATGTCTCATAGGATTAGAGGATAAATTTGTAAAACAGCTAGTGTTGCAGCCCAGGGGGAACAGATCAGTGAAGCAAACAGCCGTCCCGCAGTGTCCATGACCAATGGCTGATCCAGGGCTGGCCCTAGAGCCTGAAGGAGCCGGCCCGATCTGGCCTGATTAGCCCTTTTTGTTTGGGAGGGCTGTGGATTGCTGCTTGAGTGCACCTTAGACGTCCATAACGGATTAACTGCTTTCTCCATCAATATGTCATAGCTTCCCTCACTCTCTTTCTTTCTTTGGCTCCCGCTGGAAATGCTTAAGACAAGCGTTTATGATGTACTGAGTCCAGAGCAATGAGGATATCAGTATGGAGCTTGTGCAGAGGTCAGTTTTTACTGATGCGATGCATTACTTGAAGCAGTGTTCTGTTTTAGAAGCTTTTTTTAGAGGTTTTGGTATCTTCTGCATCTGTCTGTTTTTAAGGACTATTAAAAATTAAAATCCGTATTTTTTGAAAATTAAAATCCTTTGTTTCAGGCTTACACGCTGAAGGACTACATGGGCCTGAATCAGGAGGTAAAGCTGGGAGGTCTTGGCCCGTCCAGCACCGTCTCTGAGAACGTGGTAAGAGCTGTAATACTATAATGTCTAGGAAACACATGGCAGGAGGGTCTACCATTACATGCGCCTAATTGAGACATACACTCCCCTTTTCTTCATGTTGGTGTAACTAATCCCTAACAGCTATTTTCAACAAGCAAGTGGTTTTGAGGTCTCTGTCCTTTTACTCGTGAATGTGAAAGACTTTCATCTCTCTAAACGGAACAGAAAGGAATTTACAAACCTAATGAGCGTAGGCTTTGGAGAGGGGTATTTTTCTGTTTTCCTTTTGTCACCAATGGTAAAACCTTCAATGAATCTGATTTTCAGACGGGTTTCGACGAGGCAGCGACTGATTTGTGTTCGACACTGGTTCCAGGGAGATGATGAGTTTTATTTGGTTTTGTTTGCTGCTGTGGAGTGGCCTCCGAGTGAGACACACAATGAGGGCGAGAGGCCTTAAGGGAGAAACGGCTTAGGTAATTAAACCTCCCTTTTGTAATCTGCCTCCCTCTCTCTCACCACTGTTAGGCCGAGAAAATTAGACGACAGAAGCTGTATTCAAATGTGATCCGTGAACAGAACAAGAAGATAAGTAGGATTCCCTTTCTGCCAGCCAGGAACCCGGTGGGCAGTGACAACAAGGATGCCTTTCCCAGGAACAAGGTGAGAGAGGCCTGAAGAAATACCACGCTAGCTTTACCTTACAGTGTATCCATGAGTGTGGACCTGTCTATGCTGCTTGATCTGGGCAGATCTGTCCGTCATCTGCCTATTCCAGTACACAGTTTTATATATGACGTGAACAAGTTATTTGTGCATCAGGTAATCACAAGCACTGATTTTGATTGGCTCAGTGTTAAAATGACAAGATGTAATTGAATGTCTTGCCTAATTCAGTGTTAGTGTTATCTAATAGTAAATTCAACATTACTTTAATCAGTCTGACCAAGACAAAATTCCACACCATCTTTAGAGCATTGCCTTTTCTTAGTAATTCAAGTGAAAACAATTTTTTAGAGAAAGAGAGTTTTTAGAAACCACCAAGCCCAAGTTTAGTCAATGGCAATCATTTCCTTTGTTGTTTTGTCAGGCAAATTTTTGTCCCTAAAAATCCTAAATTGATCTGAATGAAATGAAGGCATTAAAAAGTCTTTTGTTTTTTATATTTCTTTTCCCCTGAATAATCTAATGCTGTTCTATATTCTATGCCTGGTGTATTTATTGTTGCTACACTGAAAAAATAGTATTAAATAGCCTATTTAATCATAATTTTGTCTCTATATTGGTGCATACTGTGCTTCTGAAATGGTTGCTAAGACTCCATCTTTGTTGAGTCAGCTGCGTTAATTCTGTTGCTTAATGGTCTCAAATTGCATTACAACTGGTTTTAAAGGTTTAAGTTGTATGTAGATCAGTTTTAGTCCACTATCTTTGTTTAGCGATGATTCATTCTTCAGATTATGTTATTTTTTTAAATAAAGTATGTAACCTGTATGTTGTGGAGTGTTTATCGAGTGCCATGTCTCATTATCTGAGCTTGTGCTCAATCTGGGAATATAGTTGTAATATTTGAATATAGTGTCGAAAATGATAACATCGCCAAAACACGTACAAATGCCTGTAGGTCTCAAAGGATTCAGCTCTGTTTTGGTCTGCATGGGCTGAGTTTATCTTCAGATATAACTAAATCGTTTTGAAACTTTTTGCAGGCTTTGGAATATGCCAAAACCATTGCAAAGCCCAAAGCACCTCAGCAGTGGAGGGAGAAGCCCAAAGAGAAGAGTGAGAATGAGAGCGTGTTTGAGCGCTCTGCGTATCTCCAGTTAGGAGTGGATCTCTCACAGCTGGCTACTCTGGAGATGCTGAGGAAACGGCATGAGCAGGAGAAACAGATGGTGGCACGCTTCACCAGCCTCCACCCTGCTTCATCCACACCATCTGTTAACACTCTCTGAACAGGTAGCCATTGCTTTGAACTGTGGAACCCATAAGCTAATAAGCAGCTTCTGGATACAACATGATCTCGTCTGTTATACTGAATATATCATGCACTTTTAGAGTAATAACACACTTCTTGACCTACTTCATAGACTTTATGTTGGGCTTCTTTAGACTTTAACAGAATGCACTGTGAAAGCGTATCTGTGAATTAGAGTTCTAGTTTCCTTTTTCATATAATTTCCTGTCAATGTGTAAGTGGTATAGTATTCAGTGAAATGTACTGATTATGTGTGGTTAAATATTTGTATGTTGTAAAATGTTTGTTATAGAACCATGTTTGTGCAGAATCAGTGCAGTGCTGTGCAAAAGGTAAGAGACCTTTTAGTTATTTCATTTCTGATCACATTGGCCATTAAGCAGAATTTTTCATTCTTCAGGAGATATTTCTGAAGAGAATAGATATAAGATGGTCCACATGCTAAGGAAGGAGAAAGCCAAAGTCAAAAAATTGAAAAAATTGCAATAATCAAACTCCACTTTTGCTTCAGCTATGAAAAAATCTGCAGGTGTTTCTTTCCATCTTTCCACTGTGACAAAACAGCTCAACGCTATGAGTCTGAAAGGATGTGTAGCTGTCGTGAAGCTGTTCATGAGAAAAAGAAGTAGACTAAAAGAACATTTGCAAATCAAGCAAAGAAGAAGTGTTCGCAAAACAATGAACTGACCACCCCAGTTTCCAGACCACATTACATAATGTGGGATTACTTGGATCAGGAGAAGTAGAAAATGCAGCCAAGTTTGGAGGTTTGGAAATTCTTGTTGCAGGTGAAACAAAAATGAGTCTCCTGAAAAAGAATGGCTGCTGTAATAAACGTAGGACGCCCAAAATTTTAATGCGTTATTTAGTTAATTTTCTGGTAACATACATTTTCTGTTTTTTCCTAACACTGAAAATGAAAATATGTACATACTGGCCATTTTGGCTAGAAATGAAGTAAAGAAATTGTGGTCTCTGACTTTTGCACAGTGCTGCATATGTGATGTGTTTTTCTTATTTTTCTAATAAATGTATATGGCTGAACATTTTGTAAGCAATCTGCTGTTTTTCCTAGGCGTGGTATCATGCTGTCATTTTCCATCTTTCAATAGATCTCTTAACCTGAGCGGCGATCTCATAAACACACCTGGCTGCACTGATAATGGGGAGCACTGTGCTATTTTTCAGCCAGTTCCTGCCCATTACTCTGATTATTTCCACTTTCCTCTGCCCTTTTCTTTAACTGGGAGAGAGAGAGAGAAAAAAACGGGTCAAATAAGGATGGCACTTTGAAGCCAGCCTGATTAGAGCAGGCAAACTTGCTTTCTGTATTTTTTAAAGTGATAATTTTCCCCCCCATAAAACAATCTCGAGCACCTATTTCTTTAATGGAAGCTTTAGATCGTTATCAAAGAGCTATTTACTCGTATGTAATATTTTAATTAGATTATAGCCTCTATTTAACCCATCATGTGTGCTTTGATGCTCTGTGTTTTTCAGCGTTAAGCCTCAGAAGCGAGCCTAATCAATGCCGGACCTTTTTGAATTAATGAGGGACGCTGCCCTCTCTTTACATCTTTTTTATTTATTTATTTTTTCCCCCTCAGTGCTGCCATAGAAATCGGTTCATTGAAGGAGGCTGTGAATTAGCATCCCCTTTCTGAGGCTGGGCTTTGATGTGGGCGCTGCTGAAGGACTTGGCAGAGCCCTGCCAATGAGCTGATGGAGCCACGCGCCGCAAACCGCTTAATCTTTTAATTGATCACCTTCCACACAACCTATTCTCATCATTTTTTTCTCTCCTCCTCTAAACCAGAATCCCGTTCTACAAACACTGCATGAATCGCTTTCCAAAAAGGGCGTAAATGTGGCGCACATCTCCATCCCCATTAGGCTAAACACTTCAGATGAATGTTAGCTGCACATGGTTAGACTGTAAGGGCTTGACGGGCCGTTGTGGATGGTAGGTGTAGTACACTGTATGTCCAAAAGTCCAGCCACAACTTACAGTTTGTGAACTCAGGGTGCTGACACAGATGTTCAGTTGTGCAAAACACAGCTTGTATTATCTCCATATAAGCATAGCTGATAGAATGAAGGAGCTGCACATGAGCCTGAGGTTACCATGCCCAGTGTCAGGCATTAGATAAAGGGCACAGCATTGAGCTGTGCAGCAGTGGAACTGCGTTCTCTGGAGTGGTGAAGCTCCATCCAGTGCCTCTGGGATGAGTTTGAGTGGCGTTTATGATCCAGAACTCATCATCCAGCATCAGTACCTGACCTCACTAATTTTCTCTTGTGGCTGAATGCAATCAAATCCTCACAGCAATGTTCAGACCTCTAGTGTAAAGCCTTCCCTGAATAGCTGAGCAACTGCAGCAGAAGAGAAACAAACTCCCTGGCTTATTAATGCCATTGATTCCTGACAAGACGTTGAATGAACAGGTGTCTACAAATTTGAGGACATGTAGTGCAGACGCGTTTTAAGAGTAAGATGTTAAATATGGTTCAGTGTGCTGTCCAGTCTACCTTAATGCTCTGTTTTGAACATCTCTGGAGCTGAAATACGTTTATTTACAGCTTTAATTAAAGCTCAGCTTTTCATAATTGAGATCAGTGCAGCAGTTATATGTCTGTATGTGGGCTACAGCTCTAATGGTGCCATTCGTCTGCCTTAAAATTAAGCTTAATATTGATATCATTCAGCTCTGGTGGTCATGTAGGTTTTATCTTGCTGCAGCGGCTTATTTGCTTATGTGAGCTGTGACTGTTCTGTGCTAAAGTTTAAGGCTATTGCCCTAAATTTAATCAATTATGTTATTTTTATCATATATTTTTTCACAGGGATTTGTATTTGCATTTTTTTATATTTATGTTTTGCATTGTTTTAATTGTACTTAATAATTTTATAATAAAGTAAATGAGTATTCAAAAATTATTATTATTATTATTATTATTATTATTATAGTTATTTAGAATGAGGGTTGGACAGGCTGGATGTAATCACTGGATGAAGCTCTAATGTCACTAAGATTTTAAACCACAGGAGTTATAGAGAAATCATATCATCATACCTCATATTACATTAAGTAAACAATTTAGTTTCATGTTGTCAGCAGTAGCTCCACAAATAACCCAGCAAAAGGAAGATTTCTCTCGCTACCAAACACGGGGCAGGTTTGCTAAAATCCTCGAGTGACATTTTATTGAGTAACATGTAGAGTATATATTATAATACATTTACATTCTGACTATGTTAAAATAATAAACCACAGTTATGGTGGGCCACAGCTGGAACAAAAGCACTGTGAAGATAAGTGAAAAAGGGAATGATGACGTCCAGTAGGGTGGGTCTTATTGCTCAGCTGCGTGCAATAGTTTTCATTTAATATTTTTAAAATGAATAATATTTAAATATTGAAAAGTATTTACAAAGGTCATCATTGATCAAACTAGGATCCAGTATGTTTCCGATTATTGCTAAAAAGAAAGCACAACTGCGACTACTGTTACCAGTGCATATATAAGAAAATAAAAATAGTAGTACTATCAGTATTACTTTTTACTGTAAATAATAATAATAATAATAATAATAATAATAATAATTGATCGTTTTCGTTGTATTTGTATGGTTGTTCCCAAAGAGATACTATTGTGAATCCCCCTCTTATGTAAAATAAACAACGTGTGAACATACATTAAAAGAAGAACACATCGCTTATGTTTCCATCAAATCTCTCTTTTTTGATAATTCATTTACTGTACATTATTTTAACATTAGTGAGTGAGAGTTTTGAACAGGATGCATTAGTGAAAATGGACAAAGGCGACACAGTGTAGGAGAAACTGATCCACTCATCCAGTGTTCATTAAACAAGTGCTAAATATCACGCTTCTATTTACAGATTGTCCATAGAATATTTACTGCCCCGCCCATATTCACAAAAAAGAGTCATTATAGACAATTAACCGCGTGATCAATAATAATAATAACAATAATAATAATAATAATAATAATAATCCATTCTAAACATGCATTACTGTAAGATAAGTCAGATTTAGGGACAGTTCGCCTAAATTCACTCAGCTCATAATGCATATTATTCAAAGCGCTTCTATATTACAGCTTTACAGGCTGATATTTTTGTAAAAAAAAATCAGAAGAAAAAGAAACTAAATATAATTTCCTATCTAAACTGGCAGCACTCCGTATACACATGTACAGAGGGTGAGTGAAGTCTATAGTAAATGGTCAGGAGAGCAGATGTCCTCCTCCTCGATGTCCACCTCGTCCTCGTTCTCCTCAAGCGTGTACGTGTCCGGACTCCTCCTGCCCTCCGCTGCTCCTCTCCTCTCCTGCTCGCTCTCGCTCGACGTGTCCGCGCATCTGTCCAGCTGCTCTCCGGGAGCTTTCTGCTCCTCCTGCGTCTTCCGCAGCTGCTTCTTGTGCTTCATCCTGCGGTTCTGGAACCACGTCTTCACCTGCACATGTACAAAAACACTCCTTATACGCTCATCCGTTTCCCTGAGCAGACAGTGCGGCCTGGAGCCTTAAATGACCAAATCAGGTTGAATTCAGTTGCAGAGATCCTCGTTGTCTCGAATCGAAAATATAATCTGTGTTATCGAAACTCAAAGCAGGCCAGCCGAATTATTATGAACGACCTAAACTACTTTGTCTCGACAAAACAAACGGAATAAAAGTAAATGCTGAAAAATGGTTTCATTCAATAGAGCTACATCAACATCTGATGTAAATACGAGTCTTGCTAAACGACGAAAAACGAAGGACAGCGATTGCAAGCGCCTCTTTTGACAGGACTCGTGTTGATGTAGCATATTTAAGTCATATTTGATGACCGGACATATTTGAGTCGTGTAAATTCAAACTACCGTTTTTTTTCCAGCGCAGTGCGCGGCTTTAAAACACGGTTGGTTTCAGTGCTCGACTTTAAAGACAAAAACAAGTGTTTAAGGTGGTGTGTATGTGTATGTGTGTGTGTGTGCGTGTGTATGTGTGTGTGCTCCGGTCGTACCTGTGTCTCGGACAGGCTGAGCGCCGTGGCCAGCTCCACGCGCTCCGGGGTGGACAGGTACCTCTGCAGCTCGAAGCGCTTCTCCAGTCCAGACAGCTGAGAGTCCGAGAAGACAGTGCGCGCTTTTCTGCGCCTGCAGTGCTTACCGGGCAACTCAGGATGAGGAGGAAACAGCGAGGGCATCTGCATCCCTACACCAGCGAGAAAAAACAGCCTGCGTTAATGATAATAATAATAATAATAATAATAATAACAATAATAATAATAATAATAACAATAATAATAATAATAATAATAACAATAATAATAATAGTAGTAGTAGTATTAAGAAGAAGTAGAATAAGAAGAAAGGAAAAGAAGCAGAAGTAGCTGTAGAATAACACTAAAAATAACAAAACATTTTAAATAAGCAAATAAATACAATAAAATTGTATTTAAAATATCAAATGTAATTAATAATTACACATTATCGGCTAGTACTGTTATGAAAATATACAAAACTTTTAAATAATAAAATTTTAAATAATAATAATAATGATAATTGGTAGTAGGATAAAAAATCGAATTTACGTAAATAAATACAGAAACACAGCTGATCTTTCATAGGAAACACGAACGTTTCTAAACTGTAGAATTGTGGCAAATATTTAAAATAAATTAATATTTCTAATGTGCATTAATCGGTTTTGTTAGTAAAGACTGAGAAACATACGCGCTCCGTATTAAAGAGCGGTCCTGCAGGCCTGTTTACACCAGCGCACTGTTTAAAAATCTTAGAAAAAAGTCATAAAAACCCTCTAAAATATCTTTTTCCTCTGAATCTTATAACTGGTGCGCTTGTCTAGCAGCTACTCTGCCCTGACTTCACTAGTGAGCCTAACAATCTACAGCCAAAGCCTCATCAGGAGCTCCACATCCTTCCACAAGCACAGCCGCGCTCTCCATCAGCACCTACAGGCCCGGCGCGCGCAGACTCCTTACCCGAGGTGAAGAAGTAGGGATGATGCTCGGCTTTGTGGAGCGGGTGGTGCGGGTGTGGGGCGAGGATGGGGGTGGGCATGAGGGGGTATCCGTACTCCAGCAGGGGCATCCGGGAGGCCAGCGAGCCCGTGAAGGGCGACGGGAAGGCTTCCCGCAGGGGCTTGGGTTTGTGCAGGAGGATGTCCTCGATGAAGAAGGACGTTGCCCTGTGGGCAGGCATGTGGGCACCGGCCGCCGTGTAGTTCCCGCTCATCCCTGCCAAAAGGCCCGCGCGACTCTCCCCGCAGCTCGCAGCGCCCGCACCCGGCCACTCCACCTCCGTCGCTCCGCAGTTTCCCACAAAAAGCAGAATGGTGGACAGGTCTCGGCGAAAAGCTGTCCGTCCTCAGGTACATTACTATTTATCCAGGCTGAGGGGTAGCAGCGGAGCGCCGTGGAGATCCGCGCTCAGCCAATAGCGCCGCGGCGGGGCGGGGAACCGAATTAGTGCTTTATGGATTAATTATAGGGGCCGGGGTGGAGAGGGAGGGCAGCTCCCCATGGGGCGCACAAAGCTCCTCCACACCGAGCTCATTCACACACACTCGCCCTGTCCGTTTTTTGGGGGGACTCTTTGGACTCCAGAGCGTAGACCACTGCTTAATTTTTACCCCAAGCACCAGCGTACTAAAGGACATCAGATCACATGGTACAGCGTACTATGGAGCAGCGTATGTATCATGACTTCAGTACACATGGTGTCCTATAGACTGAATTACAAAGCAATGTTTTACTTAGTTTCTAATAGTCGCCTTATTTGCAGTATCTCCCTGAGCTCATTTGCTCAAAAATATTTCATGAACATCAGCTGCGACTGAAGTTCACTATTACCTGCTGGCCCAGAATACCTGAATTCAGCCTCTTCATCAGCCGGAACACAATGTGGGCAGTTTTCATTTGATCCTGGTCCTGGTCACTTAGTTGTCAGTACTCAACGCATCCTGTGTTCTGCTCTTTTTCACAATCTGGTGGTTCAGTTTCATCTCAGTGATGAAGTAGCATGTAGACTACATTCATAAAGAGACGCGGGAGAAACATGTGGCTCCATTATGGCGCTGAACTGAGTTTCTAACGAGCGTTTCGCGCATATTTTCCTGTGTCTTGATCGGCTAATCCATACTCAGTCACTCTGAAGCTTGTGGAAGTAATAGGGCTTCAGCTGAGAGACCATGATGTGCTCAGATCACTGCCCAGAAGCGTCCCATTATGGCCAAAATAGTGAGGTGGAAATGCTCCACAGGGCTCTATGAAGTGACAAGATAGCAGGTATGAACACTCCTTACTTCATAGGCGTCTACACTGTCAGAAAAAAAGGTACTGTGCAGGTATGTTTTTGGTTCATCAAGGTACAATGTTCAACATGCAAAACAGAAATATAAAATAAAAAAGGAGACAAGAGAAAGTGTGTTTAGTTAATGCCTAAAATATATTTTCAACGGATTATGGCACAGGTAGTTCCCTAAATACAGGTGCTGAATAAGCACTCTTGAGGGGACCACCCCAGTGACTGTTCAGTACTGAAAAGTGTATGGAGTGCTAAAATAGTAGGGCAGGTCTTCTCTTCACTTCATAGGCATCTGTAGAGTGTCAAAATAGTGGGGCAGGTCTACTGTTCACTTCATTGGCTTCTATAGAGCGTCAAAATAGTGGGGCAGGTCTACTGTTCACTTTATGGGTTTCTATAGTGTCAAAATAGTAGGGCATGTCTACTCTTCACTTCATAGGCCTCTACAGAGTGTCAAAATAGTAGGGTAGTTCTACTCTTCACTTCATAGGCATCTATAGAGTGTCAAAATAGTAGGGCATGTCTACTCTTCACTTCATAGGCCTCTATAGAGTGTCAAAGTAGTAGGGTAGGTCTACTCTTCACTTCATAGGCCTCTATAGAGTGTCAAAGTAGTAGGGTAGGTCTACTCTTCACTTCATAGGCCTCTACAGAGTGTCAAAATAGTAGGGCAGGTCTACTCTTCACTTCACAGGCATCTATAGAGTGTCAAAATAGTAGGGCAGGTCTACTCTTCACTTCATAGGTGTCTATAGAGTGTCAAAATAGTAGGGCAGGTCTACTCTTCACTTCATAGGTGTCTATAGAGTGTCAAAATAGTAGGGCAGGTCTACTCTTCACTTCATAGGTGTCTATAGAGTGTCAAAATAGTAGGGCAGGTCTACTCTTCACTTCATAGTCTTCTATAGAGTGTCAAAATAGTAGGGCAGGTCTACTCTTCACTTCATAGGTGTCTATAGAGTGTCAAAATAGTAGGGCAGGTCTACTCTTCACTTCATAGGTGTCTATAGAGTGTCAAAATAGTAGGGCAGGTCTACTCTTCACTTCATAGTCTTCTATAGAGTGTCAAAATAGTAGGGCAGGTCTACTCTTCACTTCATAGGCTTCCAGTGTGATGTTCATCAATTAGTAGACATTAAAGTACCCAGATGCCATATTACATCGGAAACTGTGGGCAAACACTGGACCATCTGAACTCATATATGGATATGGGATAGAACAATTTGGGGCATGATGTAACAAAATACAAGATGCTTACATGACATCCGGCATGAAAAGTTCATGTTGTAGTCTTTCTGAAAATGTCCATACCACTTGAATGCTGTAAGTTGGCAGAATAGTGTGTTGCCTGTCATTTTAGTGAATAGTGTGTAATTGTCTCTGTAGTCGAGTTCAGAGGTATTGAAGAAGGGGTCTGAAATGGAAGTTAGGGTCTTGAGGCACACCAAAGAATTTCAGCCAATCAGGTGGCCACAAATGAAATTCTTTAGGTTACAACATTAAGCTATCCTTGAAAAACAAGGATTTAGTGTGTATTACAAAAAAGGAGAATTAAAACAACCATAAAATGGTGTTTTAACAGCAATAGAAGCCAAATTGGAAGAGCAACTGAATTGCATAACCTTATTGCATTTCATTCTCCTTAGAATAGTAAGAAAACTGCTGGATTGAGTAATCAAGAGCTATAAAATTAAAGGAAAAAGCACTAACAGTTTTATTTGTACACAAGTAAACAAATTAGGTTTGCCTACCAAAAAAAGCAGTTCTAAAACCACCAAATGAAAAATGAAACCTGCAGAGTTAATCTAGCTCTAACTGGCCCACTTTTAGCACATTTTAAAATCTACTATCTCATTCCTGTTTGTAGTTTGCCCCACAGTGATCTTGTGATTTGGATGATGGCAATGGGAACCAAAGCAAGCCTGCTTACTTCGAGAATGGAGCTAACTAGTTGCTTTTAAGGCAAAATGAGAAAGTAAATGAAGTAATGGTGATGAGATGGTCTTTACTGGGATGGTGGATGGAGTCCGCGCACTTAAGCCGCTTTAAACAGCCATTTAATCAAAGTGAAATGCGCTGCCTTTCTCTAAGAGGATTGCAGTGTTACTAGACGGTGCGTCTCATGCTTAGCAGACCACTACAGCCCACCTGACACGCTACGTCTTATCTCCAAGTGGAAAAAGTCTTGGGTCGTTGTTGTTGAGATATGTTGTGACATTTTTGCGTGAATAAAGCAAACCATCTCCTCCTAGCTAACAGCAGGGATCTGACATGACTCACTGTTTGTTTACTCTCAAGGCAGAAATGCACTTCTGTTCTGAGGAGTCAAAATGCTGTGTTGAGGGACTGGGAGGTGTAGAGATGTAGTTCCTACCTGTCTGAAAGACAGCAACAGTTCCTCCGTCTGTTAATGTGAATTGGATGACTCAGTGGTTGAGATAAGTCATTCAGAGTGGTTTGATGTGAAACGATTCAGTTGTAGAGAAAGTTACAGACTCTTCTCTATTTCTTTACAGTGGTGGTGATAGGAACCAGCGGTCGTGATGTCTACAACACAAATACAGCCATTTTTTTTACCATGCAAAACCAGTGAACCTCTGAGGTTTTAATAATGTAGTGCTGATGATGGTAAAATAGAAATCTGAGGAAATAATCTATGGGGACTAGTTTTTCTTAGAAAGCCCTTCATGTGTCCCTCTGCCTTGAAAGGATTAAACTAAAACTCATATCCATTTCATTAAATAACTTTAAGTGAGGGAGCTTTTAGAGGCATTACACTCTTCAGACGTCTGGTTCCTATCACCACCACTCTGTAGAATTCTGTCTTGGTAAGCTTCTCTACAGTTCTTAAATGGAGCATTTCACATTAAACCACTCTGAATGACTTTGTTTACATCTTAATGATTTAACTCTTCAGATCTTTTTTTAAAAAAAAAAAAAAAAGTCACTGAAGTTCCACTTTAATCTGTATCTCACTCGTCATATAATAATGACACTGGATTTATGAGGCTTTCTGTATCTCTGGGAAAGTTGAGAATACTTAACCATCTATTGATGCTCAGCTCCCAAAATTATCTTCACGGCTACCCTGGATGAAACGTTATGTATTTAAAGGTGTTTTAGGGGTACTGTCTGACCTCTAAGGCTGCATCCAAACCTGCGTATCTCCATACTAAATGGTACGTCAAAATAAAGCAATAGCACTAATAGCGCATTCAGCAGTGCAGGTCATGAACATATACTGTAGTAAACGGACACTGGTTCACACACAAACTTGACTCGCATTTGAATCCAAGACTCTTTATTTCAATCACAGTGTTCTTTCCTCCAAACTCCATGCTGGGATCGTCTCTGGGTGGGATTAACCTTCATCATCTTGACTCCTAGTGAGGAGCCGGGTTTCTGGGGCATTCATGCATCCGGTAGGCGCACATATAGAAAATACCTGCAATAAAGGAGGAAGATGAGAAGCTCTTTCAGCCTAAAACAATCAATAAAAGGAGAGAAGCTCAGACATGGCGCGCGCTCTTCTCCACTCGGCGCGACAGAGAATCAAGTGCGCTTGTGTGTGGAGGTACCTGAAAAGAAGGTGAGCACCACCGCCACCCAGCCGATGATGTAGGACCAGGAGAAGCGCCAGCTGCCGTAGCGTTTGCCGTAATAGTTCATAGTCACTCCCGTGTACACGGCCATGGCCAGGAACACGAAAAAGCCTGCGGAGAGAAACACAGAGCAGACCTGTTCGCTTCAGTCACAGATCACAGAGAATTTCTGTTCGGTATGGAGCTGTTTTTTATTTACAGACATGCATGAAAAATAATGCATTCTGAATACAGTTACTTATTTATTGGTGGACTCACTAGTATTAATGCATAACGCAGCAACAAGAGCAACAAAAACAACAACAATAATATTTTTTTTATCTTTCTGGATCAAAACAAATAAAATAAAACAATAATATATAATAACGATAAAGATAAAATATAATAATGTATAATATTAGAATATGTTTTATCCAAAGGGATGAAAAATGTTATATTATATGTTATAATATTATATTTATTGTTAATAATGTACAATAAATGATAAATATCAATTTAATAATAATTTGTTTAAAATGTATTAATCATGTATTGTAATAATAATGTATTAAAATAATATTCTTTTTCATATTATTATTATTATTATTATTATTATTATAGCTTTTTGTTGCTGTTGTATACATTAATAATTTTTTTATTAATTGTTACTATTTTTTAGGGTTTTTATTTGTGTCTTTGTTATTACGATTGGTCATTTCAGCACGAGCCATGGAAAGTTACAGTCAAATCCTCGAGCTTGTTTATGTGAAACCCTGCGTTATGATATTGTAGCGTTTTCAAACGGAACACTCCATCAGTGGTCGCACGTGCGCCTGACTGACTGAAAGCCAACCGTGTGGTGAGATGAAGCTACTCACAGGAGATGAAGAAGAGCGTGCCTGCGGCGAAGGTCTTATCAAACCTGTCGAAGGTGGAGTAGTGGATGAAGGCCATGATACCGATGATGATGCCGAAGAAGCACGCGAGCAGCGACAGGATCATGAAGGCGCGCGTGGCGTCCCAGTAGGCTGAGGACACACAGAGGTCAGCAAAGGTCAGTGGCCTCCACAGCAGCCACTGGTAGGTTTTACAGTCTGAGGACACCTTCAGTAGGCTGTTTGCTGAAGACCTCAAGAGTTGACTGAACATAGTAAACAGTCACAATCATCAACCTTTTCAGTCAGGCTTTGCTGTGGAATGCATGGGGAAACGCTTTGGAGGGAGTGTCTGCATACATTTGCCTCATTGCTTCAGCTATTATGATAATTAGCCTTGTAATGAGTCAATTAACAAGACCTCAAATGAATATTGTTCTCAGGGGGTGTCTCCTAATAACACTGGGGGGTTTACAGAGCACTACTCCTAGTTACAGTCTAGAAGAAGATTAACTAATGAACAAGAATTGAATCTCAACCATGCCTATCACTTCAAATAGAGATGTGAAATCTTACTGAACCAGAACGCTTGTCCATCATTCAGAAACATGGACCTGCTTTAGGAACCACATTGGATCCTATCACTGCAACATGTCTGTTATTGTTAAGTAAAAGCAAAGGATTTCAGGTTTGAAGGGCCCATAAAATGGGAAACTGAGTTGTCCTTGCTTAGATGAAACTACAAGTGTTTGATGTACTACGTCAACATTGTTAAGGTTATCTAGTCTATATAGTCCATATACTGAAACTAAGCCTGTATTGCATTCATTGTTTTTTGTGATATCACAAAACCCAACCTCTTTACATATGTGCACCTACAGCAGTTAACTCCGCCCATTCATTGCCACAATGCAGGTCAGCCAGTCAGAAGAGAAATAATTTACATATATCAGTCTTTAAGACACAGTACAAATAGTTTTTTTTTTCAAATTTAAAGCATAACAAGAGGTTGGGTCATGTAAAAATGAATTCTGATTGCTTTTAGTACATATACCACACAATATTATAATATTATGATATTATATCATATATAACATTGTAAGTGAAACCCAGGGAAAAAATTAAATACAAAAAAAGTAGGATAAGCAGTCTTGAAATGAACCAATCATATGGTGTAAACAATTATGTCTGATTATTTTATGATATGAAGTATCTAATGCAGATTAGTGCCCATTCTAGAATGAAGAGAGACTGAAAGACAGTGAAGACTGGTGTTGTGTTAAGCAGAATAAAGCAGTGTGAGGGGGCGCAGTGTTAAGCTCACCGATGCTGTCCGTGTGTGTGAAGCATTTGCCAGGCGTGCAGTATCTCCATAGGCCCTGGTGCATGAAGTTGTTTGAGTGACGGTACTGCATCCAATAATCTGTTGCTGTGGAAACGATCAGGAGTATATTCCCCACTCCGGCACAGAACAGCCCTCCTCCCATAAAACTGTACATCCTGCGCCTGCACACAGACTACACACGCACACACAAACAAGCACAACATGCACGCACACACACACACACATCAGGGTTGTGTTAGCATCAAGGGCCAGATCTGGCCCCTCTCAGCAGCCCGGCTCTTCACTCTGAGGGGCCTAAGTGTCTGTAATTGCATTGTAATGAACACATTATTTCCACTGAGTGAACTGAGAGGTCACAATCATGAAGCTAGCACCATGGTCTCTCTCTCTCTCACTCTCTCTCTCTCTCTCTCTCTCACACACACACACTCTCTCTCTCTCTCTCTCTGTTTGTGTATATATCCATCTGCTCTCTTACTCTCTTTTAAAATGAGTCACACGTTGGAGAAACATAATAGCTTAGTGCAAAAATGCCTAACTGCTATATTATGACACATTTATGTTATTATTTACATTTAACCTACTCAGTTAATATCATCAAATTATCATTATTATTATTATTATTATTATTATTACGGTGTGCATGCAATAAATTACACCTAAATAACCCTGTCCTACTTCTATTACTATCTCCTGAGCATGAAGTCCCTCACACCTGTCCCCTCTGTCCTCATATTTCCCAAAAATAAAGAGACAGTCATTTGGACCCTTATACCTAATTGCCAGTAGAGGGCGTCACAGCTTTCCCCTGGCGCACTGAAGCTGCCATGGTCGAGATTCTACTCGTTTAGAGTCTTTAGTTAGTCTTGCTAACATGTAGGTTCCACTTTTACTATATTCCTTTGTTAATGACCCCCTTCCCTAACCGCCTTATTAAAAATAATATTAAAATATTATGGCAATGAAATAAAATGAAATCGCCGCCCAAAATTACAAAAGTGTGCTTTTCACAAAGAAGTGCAGGATGTAGCCAGCACCGATAATCTGATTGGATATAAAAAAAGACGAGAAATTTCAAGAAAGACAAATAATATCTACCCGTGACTAACTAACTAAACGTACTAACTAAATATATTTGTTGTTTTTTTTGTTTATTCAGGTACCTTAAGGTATTTGTTATATTTTTGCTGAGTAGATTTATGTATTAATGACAGGCTTTCAATGAGTCAGTACTGAAGTGCCCCACACATATTAAGCTTTCTAACTACTCTAATCTGTTCAATAAGTAATTTTCAAAATGTGCTTATATAATAATCTGTACTCATTCAGCTCCTGATGAACACGTTGTGCGCATGTGAATACATATCACCGTATTCAGCGTATGGAGCTCAGTCAATGTATGGAGGCCTTTAACATGAAGCAAACCCTAAAGATAATTTAGCTGTAAAAATAACTGAATTAGTCCCCTGTTTCATTAAACGCACACATGTATTACCAAAATGCTCACACTTACCTCAATCTACAGGACTTTGTAACTCCGTGTTGAGAAACTGTGGGGTTTGTTTGATAAAACACGCTAAGGCCTGTAATGGCAGCGCCGGCAGCGATCCAGCAACTCTTAGCACCCGCGTTTAGCAGCTGAATAGGAAGAACGGCAGAAAGAACAGACGGGCTGAGAGACAAAGGCGCGCGCAGAGACGCAGCCAATCAGCTGGGGCTAGTTTTGTGATTTTGGAATCTGCTGAAAAAACAGAAATAAGGGCCGCGCGCAGGCTGAACTGATCCTGATGACTGCATGTTTTCCATTGAGCCGCCACAGCTCAACCTCCCTATAGTTGAAGAGTGGCCAGGCGGAAAATGTGGACTGTTGCTGGACAAGGCAACCTGCAATTACATTATCAAAACAAATTTTGATTCGGTTTTTATAGTGTTGTGTTGCGTGTAATGCGTAAACTACGCTTTAACATGGACGGACCAATGTGTGTCTTAGTCAGAGTCATGTCAATATTGTATAATATTGCCATTATTTAAGCTACTGTTCAATCAGAACAGCACAGTTCAAATGACTTACAAATAAAAGATCAAATAAATAATCATCATCAAATGTAAAATGGTTATACACTTATAAAATATCAAGGTTCCTCAGTGGTTCTTTGTAAAGTAAAATCTTTAATTGGTATAGAACTTTTACCTCATGTGGAGGTTCTTTAAACTTATTAATTACATGGTAAGTAATTGATAGTACACACTTAAAAAAATGTCTTTTCAAGGTTTCTTTAGTTAAGGCAATGGTTCTGTTTAGAACCATGAGTTTTATATAGAACCATTTCTTGCTTAAGTGGTTCTTCAATAGGGAATCGTTCTTCAGATTGATGGAGAATGTGTCGTATATGGTTCCATCTAGAACCTTTTTGAAAAAAGGTACTATATAACATCAAAAAGGGTTCTGCTATTGTTATGATGTCAAGCTTGTAAGTGAAGAGGAACCCTTTTGGTGCTTTATAGAACCCTTGAAAAATCATGTTTTTTAAGTGTGTAATTACTGAATAATAAGATGTCAAATTATTAGTAAGCCTGCAGTTTAAAGGATTAAATGTTAAAAAATAAAAATAAAGGTTTATAAACAGTGCTTGGTTTGGACGTTTTGATCTAGGAAATCATCTTTATCACCTTCTAGATGTTATTTCAATTAATAAAGGTTCTTAAACTCAAAGATCTCATTTAAAGACTGGTCCTTTAACCCCTTAAGAAGTCATGGGCTGTCCGGTAGGGACAAATTTTATTACACACTTCTATAATCTGAGAATAGCTCTGTTAGTTTGCATTGAAGTCTCTGTGGTTACTGAATAATAAGCCTTTGTATAAACTAAACCTGGATTGTTAAAGGGTTAAGGAACCATCCACTGAAAGGTTCTTTAGGGCACTTAAAATTGCTCTCCCACTGCATCGCTACCTTGTTGTCTAATTTCCCTTTGAGGATTAATAAATTATTGTCTTATTTTTTATTTTTAGAATGCAGATCTCTATACATTTGTGTTATGAGCCTGTTCATCCACCAACAATGACCGCACTGACGGAGCCTGTGATTCATACACATCAGCATCTTCTTTTGCATGAAAGCACTCGCAATATGCATAGCAGACCTCTAATACACCAAAACAAACCACTGCTTAACAAACATTGTAGTAGCTAATGTGCAATATTCTAAAATGCCTCTCATATATTAGATGCTGGATAATAATTCAGCCTACGTTACAACTGGCCTCTTAAAGTGAGCTCAGGTTTGCTTTCCTGGGCTCTTATGTGCGTTAGAGGCTGTTTTCCCCTGCAGGAGGGGGTCTGTCCTCTCTGCTGCTCACAGGGCCCGAAGATGAAAGCACCTCAGTGGCTCCATTACCTGCATTAGAGCAAGTTGCTCAGACCAATTGACGACTACAAAATGCAACAGGAAAGGCTTTTTTTTCCAGAGATGTGAGTGGCGTACTTGCGTCTAACTTCATTTTTATAGACCACCGCCTATTTTGTTCCATTTCAACCGAGCTGGCAGAGGAGCATTTGATATCATCCCGAACTATCAAAGTGGCCAATATGTCTCGGCGAGAGAGAGGGAGCAATTCTTCCTCCAATCCAGCTGGCTTTTCAAAGATGAATTTGTTATGGCGCATGTGTATTAAAGCACATCAATGGAGGAAAAAAAAAAGATCCACACATGGCTGAAAGATCATGTCTGGGGAGGGTTTAGGGAAGGATGTTCAGTTTCTTCATTTTGCATTTATGCTTCACAATGCCTATTATACAAGTCTGACTCTGTGGTCAGAAGCAATCAGTCTTACCCCCTATTAGTTATGTAGTAACTACCACTGGAAAATGCTCTGAAAAGAAAAACATTCTCAATGCAAACAAAACTGCAATTACAAAATCTTCTATATGTACAAGCCATGGCATCTGTATATATATGGTAAGATATTGAAGGAGCTAATATTAAACAAATTTGATTGCTTGTATGCTTAGCACTAGCCAAATGCTAATCCACTGGTGTACTTATGCCCGTTTATGTAGCTAATGCCAGCGGGGGTTCATTGAAATGTGATTATTTTACATGTAGAAGGATGATTAGCCTGCTGATGTGTCAAAACAAGGCCAGTTTACACTTTTCTTGCTGAAATCATTTTGCAATTAAATACACAGGTACATAGGCTATGTTTATTTCTTATTATATTCTTAATATGAGACAGATGTCATCATTCACTGATGCCTACAAAACATCTTGTCAAACGAAGTAATCTTAAATCTAGTCAATATATTTAATAACTGTCATTATGAGATTGCTGTAAGAATATTATCAGATGATTCAACCTATTTTTAAATCTTTTGTTGTGTGTAGTTTTACTCTCTCTGTTGTTGGTTTAAGGATTTCTCTCTCGTTGATGTTACTCGAATATTTTTCTTTTACTTTTTTAAGTTTTTTTTTTCCTTTTTGTATCAAAGACAGTCTATGTTTACATGGCAATTTTCCAACCTGTCTTTATCCCTTAGAATTAAGCAACCTGCTTTTGTCACTGGGCCTTTAGGCCTAATACAGTATGTAAATTAACACTGTTCTGGTTGGCTGCCCTGCATTGCACCTCATTCAGAAAGTAGTCCAGGCTGAAGCACTCCTTATAGCTAGGGGGTAAATAGGCGGGGCTAAACTACTGTAAGTTGAAAAGGTGGACAAATGTAAATGTGTTGGCTTTCGCGACATCACAAAAACAACAAATTCAAAACAGGCTGTTTTTACAGCTTAGTGCCCACATCTTGACAAAATGGACAGTTTTGAAACTTTAACAGTGTTTACATGCTATGTCAAACTCATAAAACTGAGTGTCGTTTCAGTGAAATGTCAGTGAAATTTAGTGAAAAGTGAGATGTCAGATTTACTTGATAAGTGTTTGGTCGGCTGTGTTAAGTAAAACTCAACATCCTTCTAATGACTCTTAGAATGATCTATTTGCGTAATACTTTACTTGTTTTATTTACCCTCTGTACTGTCTTTCTCCTGGTCCACCTTCTGTTGTGCATCTTTCTTATGTGTCGAGGTTATCTGTGCGGGCTTGTTGATTTAAACCTTAAACATAAAAAATATCAGTCCAGTTAGTAAGAATGTACTCAGAT